CCCCGTCACACAAACGTTCTGCGCATGCGCGGTGCGCATGCGCGACGGCCCCCCACGCGCAGCACGCACGGCGCCGCCCCATGCGCGGCACGCATATGCGGCGCGCATGCACGGCGCCACCCTTATGCGCGGTGCGTGTGCATGGCACCGTGGAAAATGGCGGATCGCCACCTTTGGCGACCCCCGAAAAATGGTCGATCGACCCCAAATGGGGTCGCGACCCATAGGTTGAGAACCGCTGTTTTAAAGTAAACAGACTATTTGAAGTGGTCCTAATTACACACATGTAAACCCAGAAGCAGATTATACCATCCCATTTTCTTTCTTCAAGGTATTTCATGAAAAGAGAACATTTTTAAAGATAAGCCAAATTACCGAAAACCTGCAAACCTAGAAGCACACCTAGATGAACAAATTATTGTAAGGTTACATTATCAGATTCTTGTAAGTCTGAAAATACATTTCTTCACTGTTGCCTTTACAGCCCAAAAAATTAGGGCAGGTTCCTTCTGAGTGTTTGCCATGCCCATATTCCTGCTGTGGGCAGCTTAGCTCAACGTTTCCCTGGCTACAACTCTTCCCCCTACCATTGCCTCATACCATTGCAAAAAGTGATTAAAAAATTAAAGCAAGGCAGGGTGGTAAATTGATAATACACGAATTTGGTAAAAGAAAAAGATAACACAATTTACAGTGAACTGAATGTTACAGAGGCCCATAGTCAGATATTTAATTCCCAATTATTACGATTCTGGAGAGAATTAAATAAAATATAGCTTATTACTGTTAACAAAGGAAAACAACTTAGATGGGCTTTCTACATGGAGATAAGCATCTACGCCAAAAGCAATGAGAAGAGATAATTGGGGCAAGCATATAGACCATTTATTTAATGAATAAATTAAAGGTAGCACTTTCCCCCCAGCAATGAACTATTAAGAAAGGCACTTTTAACCAAAATAGAGCCTTCAAAGTATATTTAATTTTAACTTTCAAAAGACCCTGTAATCTAAGAAACAATAGCATCAGAGGATATTTACATAATCAGTCTCTTATCATCTATTTCAACGAAATAGGTAAATGCAAGGATTTATTGGAATGGTACCTCCCTTTGCACTGTCAGAGCAGAGAAATGTAAATGCTACATTATGTTATTCCCTTTCATAGGAGATTTCCTTTTAAAAAAAGAGAAAGCCCTTCCTCGGGTAGGCGCTGGAGTTAAGGTCATGTAAAACCTGGCAGTCATTGTTAACTGTAGGCATGCTAGACTAAATCCAAATTGTAAACATGAATTGACACGCATGTAAATAAAAATTGGCATAGCTGAGATGAATTGGATATTTTCTAAAGATCTGAGATTTTGATGCCTTGGCAAAAGTATCTCTGTAAAGCATGAAAGTCTCATTCATATTAAATAAATCTCACTAAGACATTGAAAAGCATCTCCCAAAAGTAAGCAAATAAATTTTGTTTTTAAATACCTTACCAGAAGCACAAACATAATTAATCCATAGCAAAAATTGGAGGTGATACAATTTAATATCGTATCAAAAGAAACTGAACATATTTTAAATTATGAAGAAAGTCCAGCTACAGTATTTCCTTTTAATATCTATTAAACCTTTGCCATACAAAGATGTGAAAGAACCAGTGTAGAATGTATCAGTATTACACATCTTTAAGGAACAATTGGAAAAATCCCAAGTTTTTTTTGTTAAGTGACAAATTATACAGCCATGGTGTAATTTATTTTTCTTCTGAAAATTCAGCTGAACAAAATAAGAGATGAGCATATATGACAATTTTGACACCACGGCATAAGGTATTTTGAAGACACCTTGGCCTCCCAAACATAACAATGTATGTCTGAAGTACATGAACTGACAATTTTTAAAAAAAGTTGGAGTCTGCAAGACAAGGATACAAACTCATCAGAAACCACAGTCCCTTATAGTTCATCTGCTTCAACTATAATCTCTAGCAACAATTATACATAAGTATACACTTCCATCTTTGAAGTAGAAATGTTTCTTTTCCTTCTCCAGAAGTTTAGAGATACATAAAAAACAAGAAAAATATAAAAAATGGATTAATGGATAATGTTGATATAAGGGAGGGATTGTTTTGTTTAGAAGAGATGAGGAGACTTGGTCTGGATTTTATTCTACTGCAATTATTTATAAAATGCAGGGTTTGGGGTATAGAGGGGCCTCCAATAAATATAAAGAATAGTGCATCTTGCTGAAATTTCAGATGTATCTAAATCTATTTATAATTTACTATAGAGGAGAAATTCCAGACTACTTCCTTATAGTTTGAAGGCAAACATGTCTTAAAAGTTTATCTCTCAACTATACACTTAATACTTAAAACAATTATTGCAGACAAACTCAAGCGCAATTGTATTGGTTCATCCTCAAAGCAATACTTCAATTGTCTGTTAGTTTTGTTTCAATGTGAGGCGTTCCCCACTAGTTCTGGTTTCACACAATGATTCATGAAGCACAGAGAATTAGCACTAATTTTCACCATGCCATATAACTTTAAGAGGACAAGAAAGGGGCTGGCAATAATTATTTATTTTCATAGAAAAGCATAGAGAAATATGTTTATACATTTAGAAGCTTCCCCCAAAGAAGATTGCCTTAGGAAAAGTCAATTTGCAATGCAGTATTTCATTAGTCATAACAGAGGAATGTCTGAAAAAAGTTTTGAACATTATCATTTTGAATGTATTGGATAAAAAAAAAACAAATTCATGCTGTATATATATCCTTCATCTTTTTTCTGCATGAAAAGATTTTTTTTTTCTCCCAGACCATTCATCACAGGACCGAACATGGGATGTTTGCTATGTGCATCTTTAAACATACTACTGACAGTGCCTGTTAAAGAAATAGGCTTCAGATTTTGTTTTAGCTTGATGCAAGACTCTATTCTCAGAAGAAAAATTCTCCACATACCAGCATATCAACCATTTGGCCTTGTTCATGAGACTTTTGCTCAAGTTTTAAAAAGTGTTCACCACGCAAATCTCTTCCAGATAGCCAAGATTGCCACTTTCATAATCCCTGGCATTGTCCATACTAGCAAGATGTAAGGAGTTAAGTCAACATCTTTGGAGGACACTAATATGGGATAATTCTGCTCTACAACATTCCTGAGGCAATGATTATGTATTATTGTATTAATTCATGAGAATCCCATGTTTTTTTCCTTGTACTTCATCATAAATCACCTCTGTCTTTGAGCAGATGCTCAGGGTAAGTCTTAAATTTATCCCTAGTTTGGTAAAAGATTATACAGTGAAATACCAACTCTTCTTGAAACTTTTTTTAAAATCTAACATGTTAATCTAATGGCTTACCTTGAACACTTTAGTATAATTTTTTTAATAGTAGATTTTTGCAAAGGCAAAATTGTGCATTATTTTAAAACTTCATTATTAATGAAGCTCCTCTAAACTTAGCTGTCTACTCATGCTTCTTAAGATAGATCCACAAAAGACAGATGTATTGATTCTCTAGTCTAGTTAATAATGTATTTAGTGAGCAACAGGCCAATTTGCTCATATGAAAGTGCTCATAGACAAACCTTTATTATCAAATGATGAGCCTGGAAGGCAAAACTTTTACAGAAATGGAAGCAATGGATGTGTTTAGCCTGAAGATGTAAGACATCATATCCAAAAGGCCATGATGTAAAACATAAGTGTCCAAGTAGCTTGCCTGGGCCACACTGAGTGAACAAGAATCATCTTGAGCTGCATATAAAATATATAATATACTTAATCTATGTAAATCACATAATGTTAAAAGTTTACAACCTTATGGGGGCATATTACTACGGTAGCTGTTTGGGGCCGCATGTGCCTGTGGGCCACAAGTTGGACGCACCTGATGTAGAGGATCGAATTGAATGGTTCAGAGTTCTTCCAGAAGACAGGTTAAAAAAAAATTAAATTATGAAGAGGCAAATTTTAATGGCCTTAGGATGAATGTCCTAAGCAGCTGCTCCACAATGGAACAGAATGCTTCAGTGGAGCCTTCTTCATAGGGGTATAAACATGCTGGTTGGCCCTCTATTATGGCCCACTATTTTGCCAGTTATAGCTTCCTATATCACAACTATTTGATTATCTGTGGAAGAGAAAGCAGAAAACATGAGCAATGATATTATGCCATCTAGCTAAATTTCTGGGAGCTGTTATTCTAACACATTTGGCTGCAGAAGTTGCAGAAATGTGGTTCTGATAAATATGCACAAAGATTAGCCATAGTAAATCCATGTAAATAAATTCTCAAAAGATTAGGCGGAAAAAGAATAAGAGAAAACTCTTTCACCAAGCAGAATATTTGCTTACTCAAAATTTTTATCAAAGAGTACTGTCAGACACCATCACAGGCCTAATTATACCATTATTTCATCTCTTAACACCCTTTTCGTGAAAACAGCAGTAAAATTTCCCAGATGGACATAATTGAGCTGAAGAGCTTTCAAAGAACAGTTTCTATAGCATTCCCCAGAGCAATTTACATAAATCACACAAGGAAGACAAAAAAGAAGCAACAGTCTCATTGGCACCACCTTTCATTGGAATTGGTAGTATAATAGAACTTAATTTTATTTATTAATTAATTGTACTGGTTCCTCATTTTAGCACAAGATAACTCTGGGCAGCTTACAATACTAAAAATATAAAATTATATGAATAAAATACTCCAAAAATATAAAAATACAAAATTTGCTAGCTAAAAGATGGGGAGGGAGGGAGTGGGGGGGGGAGATGGGATCTGATATTCATCTATCAACCACCCCAGCATGAAGCAGAGCAGTCTTTAAGCTCTTGGTTATAAATCACATTAAAGGTAATTTCTCTTAAATGCATAAATATCATATCAGAGCTTATTTTTAATAAAAGCAGCAGACCTTCCTTAAATGCAAATGTTCTTCTCACCATTAACAAACCCTTAAAAGAATTAAAATGCTGCAGATGCATATTGGGCAAATAAAACTATGGGAGTAGTTTCCTACTCCAATAGGAAAAGATTTTTATTTACTTTTATTCCAGCAATGATTTAAATACAGAAGCCGACAATATATATATCTTTCATAAGATGCTGTTTCCAGATATCTGTGTCTTGTAATTCTGTCTTTGTAAATTCCCATTAAAAATATATAAGGTATTTTTATTGCTACATATAAAGCATTTGTATTCACACGTATAATCCAGCATTTCTCTAGCCTGAAGGGTTTTCATTAAACATCCTGCAGTAGACAGATTTTTAATGTTGGTTGTAACTGTGATATAATTATTTACATACCGTAAATGCCAGCGTACAAGGCGACCCGGTGTATAAGACGACCCCCGTCTTTATAGCCGGGCTGCATTCCTAGAACGTCGTCTTATACGCCGGAAACTACCAGTATTTCCGGCGTATAAGACGACTCGGCGTATAAGACGACCCCCATCTTTGGCACCGATTTCAGCGCTCGCGGAAGTTGCCTTATACACCGGCATTTATGGTACTACTATTTGACACCGCTCCAGGAATTAAGGTTTAAATCCTATAACAAATTAAATTCTACAACATCCTGTTGCTTCCTTACAGCCTCCCTCCCAATTACAATTTAGAAATGAAATACAAAAGAATGTACAGTAACTCCTGTTAAAATAACACATCTTTTAACCATATAAAATTTTGTAGCAAGAGTCATAAGTTTTCACAAGCAAAAATAACCATGTTTAAAATGCACTCTGAAACAATACATTCACATATTCTATTAAAGAAAATGTGCCTGGGAAAATCAGAAGTATGTTAGGCAAATATCTTTATTGATAGACATAAATAATAATGTAAAACTTGTGGGTTTCTACAACTTTGCAGCTTGTTCAAGGACAATGTGTGACACAGGTCTCATGGCAAGCAAAGTACTCATGATTTCTTTACCACTTTTATTTTGGATTTGGCAAAAAGCTTATGAAATAAAAGTAAAGTTCAAAGCAAGAGAACACAAATCCATTCTTATGCTCAAACATAGTTTAGAGGCATGACCCTGATGTTCTACTTGCAAGCCACTCAATGCAGAAAAAGCTATTTCTAAGTCTATACTTCGAAGCAAATCATGACGCTATTAATACTGAGCAGATTTTTGTAGGATATACATAAATCTTAGGGGCCAATTCATATAATTTAAGAAAACTATTTTAATAGAACTTGGTCTTTAGTAACAGGTACAGGTCAGAGGAGAGGTATACTAAACATTCAAAACAAAATTAAATGAGTTTTCTGTGTATGTATCACTTTTTTAAAAGACAACACTTTTGGGAAATGCAACTAATCTAGAAAAAGTATTAAGTCCAGCTTGTGGCAGACTAAAAAAATTCTAAGTTACTTATTTTTTTACTGCTGTAAAAAATATGGCATATAAAATACACTATTAAACAAGAATATCACTGAGAACAGCTACATCTTGTTTGATAGAGAACCACAGATATGCAGTTCTAATGGTTACTCCTTCTCTTAAACATTGAACATTCTATAGGAGAAACATCTTCCAAGAGCTAATGGAATGACACATCTTAAAGCATGAATGGAAGTTTTTAATCTACTAAAATATAACATGTTCAGAAGGGAGCATGTTACATTTTAGCAGATTTACAATCTTGGCACTCTCTTTCCATGAAGATGCTATATAATTTAACATTTGCTAAGAAGTTAGTAATTCAACCAAATGTGTATCAGACAAACAATAGGGGACTGTCTATCAGAAGCACACTTTAAATACTGTAATAAAAACATCACATCGGAAGGAAGGAAGGAAGGAAGGAAGGAAGGAAGGAAGGAAGGAAGGAAGGAAGGAAGGATTTTCTAATCTTATGTACCAATTATTCAGTCAATTTTTAGAAGCAAAACAACACATATCAAGTGATAGGATGGCCACACTGCTAGGCATTGCACAGAATATTGGAAGTACCGTATTTTCCAGCGTATAAGATGACTTTCAAAATCATGCAAATCTTCTCCAAAGTCGGGAGTCATCTTATACGCTGAGTCATCTTATACGCCGGAAAATACAGTAGTCACCTATTCCTTTTTATGTCACATTATTATAGTTACAACAGTAAATTCTACTCATGCTAGAGTCCTATAAAATTTTCTAGAAAAAGAAGGAATAAAATAATACGGATCACAAACATTTCAGATGAGGTGAGTATTGGAAGAAAAGCAAAAGCAAAGGAATTTGAATCTAGGAATATCTAGAAATGCTCCTTTTCATCTTGTGACTTTTGTGTAACAAGGATTCTCCTTTTTAAAGGGTCTTTTCCTAAAATAGAGTAGGAAAATTATTTGCAACAATGAGAATGGGAAGCAAAAAAGGAGCTACTCTTTGCTAGGCTATATTTAAAGAACAAGGATACTTCAAACAGAGCCTTTCTGTGAACAATGAATAGAAAGCAAAAACTTCCCTGAGCAAGAAACTGAATGTCCTCACCACTGCTACAGTTCCAAATGTGCATCTTTTTCCTAGTCAAACTGCTATTTAAAACTCAAATTCTTGCTCTGTTAAATTGCATGTCTCATTACAATACCTATTCTTTCCAGGGGATGTTCTTTTCCACCTTCCTCTCTACCTCTCCTTTCAAAAACTCAAGCTCAGGCAATTTTTGCTAGCCATTTTTCTAAGTCATTAATGTCAGGACTACCCTCCTCTCCCTTGTTTCCTCTGGCACTACACTCAATAAATTCGACTTTCATGGGCAGCTGAGAGAAGTCAAACTCCTTTCCCTTCTTCCCAAGCTGAATGACAGATCCCGAGCTTGAACTATCCATGGTACTTGGGGCAGCAGAGAGAGTCACTCGTAAGGTATTGCTGTAAAAAAAGGAGAAAAAGTTTAGACAAAGAGAATGGATCTGTATAAAATAAAATATTGGCATTGTGGACAGGCTGCACAATCTTTAGAGAGAAATATGTATGAAACTAGCTAATATGGGTAAGACAACAACTTCTCCAGGACCAAACTATTATCTTTTATTGTTTTTTCCCTTTAAAACAACTTTTACTTCAATTTTTGTATTTATTATTTTCATGTTTTGTTGGCCATACTGTTTTTAAGACTGCTTCCTTGTAAGTCATTCTGACCTGCCCAAGAAAAAGCATGGCACAGAAATAAATAAAACAGATGAATGATCCAAGTTTGGAAAAATGACCTAATTATTAGATCAGAGATATTTGTAGCCAAAACAAACAGAAATCTGGCAATAGCCAATCATAATTAAATTAAGTGTAAGTTTCAATAATTGGTCAAGAGTTTTAATTCTTCAATTGTACATTAGGAAAGGAAAAGTGGAGAAAAGGAGAATAAAATTATATTTTCCTCTCAGCAACATCTTTGCAATATGTTGTCAGTTCAGGTGATTATCACAAATAAGATTATAATGATTCAAGGGTTAGCTGTAATGGTTAACTTAAAGTTCAACAAAGGAAAACACTTTTTTTGTGCTACATCTCAGAAATTTAATTTGAAAACACAAAACAAATTATGGCAATACTTTAAGTGTTCCTTATTTTAATGGATGGAAGAGACTCAGGTATATGTGTGAGAAAACAAAGTAACCATTGCTATTGTCAACGTGAACTATATAGTATAAATAAAACTATTTTCCATTCAGGTTATAAAAGGAATACAATTTTGTAAAATTGGATATTTTAGGGACTAAATGTAGGAACTCAGTCACACCCTCTCAGGAAGGAGACAATGGCAAACCACTTCCAAAATCTTGTCAAGAAAACTGTGGGAACTCATTCAGGAGGTTTCCAGGAGTCAACAAAAAATCAGTGGTGAGGGAGGGAGGGAGGAAGGGAGGATACCAACTGAGATACTAAATCAAGAATCATTTGAATAATTTTTGAAAGCAATGTTTAAAAAATATGCTCCATCTATAGACTTGATTAAATTAATATGTATGTTGCTATTTAAAACTCTAGCTGATCTCATGCATCAGAACAGTTTGGAAATTCTACAGGCAAAATTGGTTTTATTTTTCATTGCTCAATGTTACTTTCCACTGTGCCTTCACGACAACATGAAAACAATTTTAAAAATTCATCACTACTGGGCAGTAACCTTGCACCTAAAGAAAAATGCATGAAGGTGACCCCTGATAAGCTGATCCTTTGAACTTACAGCTCTCTTTCCAGTTGCTGCTGTATGAGCTTAGAAGATTTTGCCATTGTAACATCTATGGAAGGGAATAAGGAAAAAAAAACATATTAATACTGTGCTATAGATAACAATGGCTTGATACATTTGAAGGAACTTTCTAAAAGTTAATGACACTGCTAGGCCTCTGAACTCTAGGGGATGCATTCCAAAGAAACTGGAAGGTATTTAGAGAAGCCTTAATCTGAGTTGTCATCAGACAAGCTCACCAAGGCAAACCTAATTGCATGAAATGGGGAAAGTCACACAATAATTACATCCGGACACAGTCATCACTCAGTTCCTAAAAAGGGCAGTTACTAAACCCTGAATTCACCCCTGCAACAAGTGGTTTAGTACCAGGTTGTTGATATCCATCCAGATGTATAAATAATAGCTATATTTGTATCTGGCCAATTGGCTGAGTTCATAAACCACCATTAAAATAAACCATGATTTCCCATCATAATCCAAATTTCAGAAATAGACAATAGCTGTAAATTAGTTTACCAGGATTGACAGAAACCAGTTTCCAAATGTGCACTTATTCTATACCTTATGAAAGGCATGGCAAAATACTAATCAGTAGAAACATTTTAAATTATATCTAAAATGAAGGCCAGCTTATTTCAAAGATGACAGGCATTACCTTGTTTGTTGCAGGCTATTAAGAGGGGAGGTGCATTTTTCAGAACTGTGTTGTCAATCAGGAGTTGGTACAGAAATTCTGCCACATCTTTCATCTCCCGTTGGAAAGCTACACTATCCACAACAAACACAATTGCCCTATACAAAAAAAAATAAAAATGCAGTGCGTGATATTAACTTACGTTATCCTTCAAGTGGTATATCAGCAAAACAAACCCTCCCCCCCAAACAATACAAGACTGCTTGTAATCAGCACTTTTTCCTTCTAAGAATAAGTTTTGATACTGTCAAAATTTGGTACCTTAATGTGAATTGTTTTGTTTTGACATTCTCCTCTTCTCCAATTAGCAAGACAAAAAAGTTTAGGAAAAGAGAGAGAGATGAACAAAATCCAACAAATGAGATGCACATATTTCATCAGATCCTTCTATTTATTTGCAGCAATCCTATAATCAGTGTTTCTCAACCTTGACAATTTTAAGGCATGTGGACTTCAACTCCCAGAATTCCACAGCCAGCATTGCTGGCTATGGAATTCTGGGAGTTGAAGTCCACATGCCTTAAAATTGTCAAGGTTGAGAAACACTGCTATAAGTCTATACATTGGTAATGTCTTGAAAATACTAATAGAGCCATTCTTTTGAAACTTACCTAGCTGCAGCCTTGAACCTATCCAGGAACTGAAGCCTCAAGCTCTCATGGCCAGGAAGGTCAATTAAAGTCACATTCCTATTCTACAGGAGAAGCAATAAATAATTTATCATGGAGCAATTTTAGGCAGTATTTTGCTTATGTATTTTTATTGCTTTCTACTGTTATTTGAGTTTATTTCAAATGAATAACGATCCTTTCATACATGTATACCTATATACCACAACATGTAATATTTCCATCCTTACCTTGTCATTTTTTACTCTGTACAAGGCAGAACTATCAGTTATGGAAGTCTGAGTATTTCGGAAATTTTCTGTTAAGAGCTATGGAAATCAAAAGAAAGGAGACAAAATTAAATATTCTCAGTAAAATTACCGATCTAATGCTTTCAAAAGCTTCAAAAGCAAGAAGAAGTTAAAAGTGTTTAACTTTAATCTTCCAATGACATGGAAAAAAATCACAGCAAAATATTAGTCTAAAACAGTGGTTCTCAACCTTTTTAATGCCGCGACCCCAACCGGTTGTAAGTTGAGGACTACCCAACCGGTCATAAGTCGAGGACTACCCAACCGGTCGTTAAGTTGAGGACTTTCCCTGCCCGGGAGCACTGCGCATGCGAGGTGCCGCCCCCTGCGCCGGCCGAGGCGTAGCTGGCAAGAGGCAGAGATGGCACAGGCCAACCACAGGCTGGGCCACCAGCTGGCCCAGCCCAAGGGAGGTAAGGCACCCGCCAGGCCCCACGCGCGCCAGCAACCCTCCCTGCACACGCCGGCCTCCCACCTCCCACCTCTGGCCCTCTTTTACTTACATTTTTAGTAGTTGCTCAGCAGGGAGGGGTGGAAACTTCCAGACAGCTCACCTTCGCTGCAGACAACTTGCAGCACCGTTTGCAGAATGGGACTTTTGGCGGGCTCAGCAGGGCAGAGACAGCCTGGACAATTCCTATTGGCTTTGAAAGCCAATAGAATTAGACTCTATTCAAGAGAGTCTATTCTATTGGCTTTCAAAAGCCAATAGAATAAAAGGGAGTAGCACAGCTAAGGAAAAGGGGGAAAAAATGGCGGACTGCGTTGTTTGGCGACCCCCGTGAAATGGTTGCCAAATAGGGTCCGACCCACAGGTTGAGAACCACTGGTCTAAAAGATAGTCTAAAAGAATTATGAAAGAAACTTCCATACCCTAACAAATAGAAGAGTTTTTCCTGAGTCACACAGACCAGCCAGAAGCACTGCTGTCCGACTGCTCTTTCTCGCTTGGAAAATTTTCCAAATTACTGAAAAAGACAAACAATCCACTGATTAACTAAGCTATATGAATAAATATTGCTATCCATGAAAATATTTTGATTCATGCAACGTCTAAAACTAAAGCTACTTCATACGGAGTATAAGTTGTCATTTTTAAGTAATGTGCGATTTTTTTCCAAACCTATAACTTTTCTGTGTTATAAACAGTTGATTTGACAGAATAACCAGGCAATTCACAATATTTATTTCCTGTAAAATTCACTTTTTTCCACTTTCTGTATAAGCAATGACTTTCTCATACTAGCCAGATCAGAAACACAAGAACACCAAATCAGAAATACATGCGCATCAAACAAGTATATTTATTTAGAAACAAGTCTTAGTCATTTATCTTTTATAAATATAAGCCCCAAAGAGGTTTACAAAAGTCTATACTGAACAATGATTTCATTCAAAACAAAGATAAGAATATTTTAAAATATATATTACTGCAGATATGCAGTAATGCTTAAAAGTTTGTGAGTTCTTTTGAATATTCAAAGTTTCTGCATAAATGTGATCTAAAATGTTAGTGTTCTCCATACATCCTAAAACTAGATAAAGTGAACACAATTAACCAAATTAATAGAAAACATTATACTCATTCATTTATTTGAGGAAAATGACCCAGAGCTAAAATGTAAAATATGTAAACCTCTAGAATTATTAATTCATTTGAAGGGAAAATTAGAGCCAGGTGTTTCAATCAATGTAAAGTGCAAGTATGGGATGTCCTGCTTTATTTAAAAAAACAGAATTCTGGGTATTCACTATCAATATCTGATCTTCTCAACATAGGTACATGGAGGTGTGTTGTAGCTTGAATAAAGAACTTTTCTAAGGTCCTCTGAAAAACAGTTGTTGCTGCTCACTGGTCTTCAAAACATTACAAAACTATAACCAAAGAATTTTGATCCCACCAGTTCACTGTCAGGCAGATAGTATACAAATGAAAGCAATTGAACACTATTATTGCCCTCCCCTAGAATGGTCAACCAACCAGGATCACATCAAAAGCAATATGTGCAACGCTCTGGGAGGTCTTAAAGAACTCCATGATAACATCTAAAGAACTAAAGCCTTTCTTGCATTGATGAATGTCACTTTTTATGAGAATACTGAACAGCAATGATATGTATGACAGGGCTGCAAGGAGACCTACTCTCAAAAAAGAACACTACTGCCCATCCACAATCTGCAAAAGACCAGATAGGTCAGTTGGAAAGATATTGAAAGCATGTTCTATGAATGGATGAGTCCAAAATAAAACTTTCTGGCTTGACTGAAAAGCATTAGTTCAACAAAATGCAAATACTGCATTCCTGTATAAGAATCTTATTCTGTGAACAGGGTGGTGGCAGCATCATGGTTTGGACTAGTATGAACATATTCTACAGCAAAATGTAGGGTATCTGTTCTTGAACTGAAGTTGAAGAAAAATGCTCCTGCAGAGTTAGGGTTAAGATTAGGAATGCGGGAAGACACCATCCCAAAATACAACTCAAATTACCAAAGAATGGTTAAAGCAAAGAAAATTAAATATTCTGGAATGATCAAGTCAAAGTCCTGATCTTCATCCTATAGAAATATTGTGGAAGTGGGCAGTTCATGCAAGAAGGCCCATCATCATCCCTGTGTTGAAGCTGTTCTGTTAAGAAGGAATGAGCTAAAATTCTTCCAAATCAGTGTGCAGTACTGCTCAAAAGTTCATTGCAGTTATTGACACCCAAAAGAGTGTTACGGTTCATATATGAGATATGGCATACTTTTGCCACACAAAGATATGTAGCTTTGGATCATTTTCCTCAATAAATAAATATACAAATATGTTTTTGACTCATTTAACAGGATTTTCTTTATCTAGTTCTAGTGGAGAACAGATCACAGTTTAGATCATACCTATGTAGAAATAGTGAACATTCAAAAGGATTACAAACTTTTAAGTACCACTGTAGTAGGATAGCAGTTCATTTAAAATATTAAACTCAATGATAAATATACTACTTTGCCAGAATTACAAATTACAATTATCTTGTCAGAAATCACAAGCTTTTTCTCTATTAAATTTGCCTACTTCTCACTTTCTAAATTTGCCTAAAAGCTCTCTTTCTCCTGCATTTTCATTACTAAATACTATAAAATCCTCACAACAAAGTCCAAAGTAATTTTCACCAGCCTGTTGCTAGATGTGTTGTATCACAATACTTATTTTCCCAGCCACTTTATCTTGACAGCAGAAGACTGTTTGGAGTCAATTGCCAGAACAGAAAAACAACAGAAAAAATAAGATTGACAAGGCATACAGCTTTTGCAAAAAAAAAAAAACCAAAAAAAAAAAAAAACCAAATCAGACCATTAATTGCAGTCTTCAGTTAAAAGAAAAAAGAAAATACAGAAATTCAAATTTAATGCATTTGGAAGCAATCTACTACTCCTTCCAAACATTCCCCAAACACGGCAAAATGTTTCTCTACAATCTAGGGTGTTTCTTAATATACCCCGTTTTTCCTCTTCATCTCTACGGCAAGACCTATTGATGAACCTCACAAAAGCCCCACTGCCACCTATCTTCAAATAATCATGCTGTGTACGCCAGTCTTGCAATTGTGCTATAAAGGGACAGAGCGATGAAACGCTCCAGCTCATTTTGCTTTCTGCGCCGCTCGAAAGCAACTGCCGAGCAGGGCCAGAGGGCTGCACAGGGCGCGCTGAAACTCACCCAGAACTAAGACGACGAACACGGCCACCGCCACCGAGATCAAAAGCCGGACCTGCGCCACGTCCTGGGCCGGCAGGGGCGCATCTTGGGGAGGGGGAAACCCCTCGCGCTGCGGCGTCACTTTCACACCGTTCATGCTGAGCCGCTCACCACGCGTGACAGCTTAATACGTATAATGTAGCGACGTTTCCTGCTCTGCAGTCGTCATCTTCCGGTTTCTACAGCAGGTGGCTGACTCGTCTTCAAGTAACGAAAAAAACAGAGATATAATTACATTGGACCACAGCTCCCAGAATTCCTAGCGAAGAAACTTATACCGACGTGACGAAGGTTGTTCTAAATCTGAAGCATCAATTTCTTGTAGGGAAAAAAAATCATCAGAATTTTGTAACATTATTAAGGTGACCAACTTTTTTGCAACAAAAAGGAGGACACGAATAAATTGAAGAAAAAATATCGTAAATAAAAGAAACGTATTTATTGCAACAATAATACAGAATACACTATAATATGATAAATGCATAATAAAAAACATTTGTAACAATAACATTTTATATTGTAATTATGCTTACATGCCTATTAATTATTATTTAAATGAGTACTTTTCCACTGAATGAATATTTTTTGTCAATGTATCATCTTCTAACAATATATTGGAAATATCTGAACAAGAAATATCCTTCATATTGAATTTTATCGCAAGTGCTGCAGCTAGAGTATCAACATTCAATCTCGATGTCTCACTTGTCCAAAAATCTACAGGGCTGGATTGCGCGGGCGTGGGCGGCAGAGGCAGGTTGTGAGCCAGATGCTCCAGGATGGCCATGTAGGTGCGCAGGGTGAGGTGGTGGCAGCGCAGGTCAGCACTGCGTAGACCATCAGCTGGCGCAGCCCATGGAAGGTCAACTGCCCGCCATGCCCCCGCCCATAGCCGCCCCGCCAGCACCGCTGCCCTGCTATGGAGAGCCGGCCCCGTGGCTCGCAAAGCACTAGCAGAGCCAGCTCCGGCCCTGAGCCACCCCCCCCCAGCACCACCGCCCACCCTGCGCATCCCCGTAGAGCCGGCCCCACGGCTCGCAAAGGCAAAGCACCAGCTGCACCGGCTCCGGCCCTGCAGCCACCCCCCCAGCACCACCGCCCACCCTGCGCATCCCCGTAGAGCCGGCCCCACAGCTTGCAAAGGCAAAGCACCAGCCACGTTGGCTCCGGCCCTGCAGCCGCCCACCCCAGCTTTCCCCCAGCACCACCGCCCACCCTGCACATCCCCATAGAGCCGGCCCCACGGCTCGCAAAGGCAAAGCACCAGCTGCCCAGCTCCGGCCCTGCAGCTGCCCCCCAGCCGCCCCCCAGTACCACTGCCCACCCTGCGCATCCCCGTAGAGCCAGCCCCACAGCTCGTAAAGCACCAGCCGTGCTGGCTCCGGCCCTGCAGCCACCCCCCAGCCACTCCCCAGCACCACCGCCTACCCTGTGCATCCCTGTGTAGAACCGAACAGGGAAGATCAAGAGAAACTTACCGCTCCAGTCTCCTCCAGCTATCTGCAGAACTAAGTAGGAGATGGTGTAGTTGGGTAGCAGTGAGGGGTGCACAGTTCCTGCAATTTGCACGTGCAAAGTTTGCCGCCCAGGTGTTTTGGCGCACTCAGCAGCAATTCCTATTGGCTTTCGAAAGCCAATGGAGGAGTAGCACAGCTCAGGCAAAAGTTGAAAAAAAACATCAAAAAAAGGCCCCAGAACGCCTTCTGAGCGTTCTATGAGGGGAAAAAAAGCCCTGCAGATTAGTCTTCAAATATAGAAAAAGAGGACATTTAGGAGGACATTTTCGAGGGAGGACAGAACTCACAAAAGGAGGACTGTCCTCCCAAAAGGAGGACGGTATATTGAAAAGGAGGACATTTAGGAGGACACTTTTTGAGGGAAGACAGAACTCAAAAAAGGAGGACTGTCCTCCCAAAAGGAGGACGGTTGCTCACCTTAACATTATACCCAAACCAGATCCTACAAGTCCCCTGGACTGCAAGGCGATCAAACTAGTCAGTCCTAGAGGAGATCAACCCTGACTGCTTTTTTGAAGGCCAGGTCCTGAAGTTGAAACTCAAGTACTTTGGCCACCTAATGAGAAGGAAGGACTCACTGGAGAAGAGCTTAATGCTGGGAAACATTGAGGGCAATAGAAGAAGGGGATGACAGAGAATGAGGTGGCTGGATGGAGTCACCAAAGCAGTAGGCGTGAGCTTAAATGGACTCCAGAAGATGGTAGAGGACAGGAAGGCCTGGAGGAATGTTGTCCATGGGGTTGTGATGGGTTGGACATGACTTCGCAACTAACAACAACAACCAGATTTAAACATTCAAAGATGACTTTATTAGTCCATTTCATTCGACAGAGAGAGTATTGGTTGATTTATAAAAGCTATAGAAGATGAAATAGGGAGCATTTAAAAAAGCTGTGTTACTGCAATTGATCAATGTCCACGCGATGATCTTAATCGTGACTCTTGAAAAACCAGGATGAGAATAATATTTCTGCTCCATCAATCAGCTTGTGCTCCACTGATAGAAGCTGACAGAATTGGTTATTAAATTTTGTTTCAACAATAATGGGAGAGTGTTTTTAATAAATTCAGAACAAACTGTGTGGTGTAAATCCCATATTATATTGCTACTTCTGTAATGGCAGCATGTCTATTGAACCTGAATTGTGTAATAATTTTATTTAAATAATCAAAGTGCTCTGAAGTGGTGACTTTGGGGTTCTTCAGAGCTCTTTATCTAGTTTGATACTTTTTTTAAAAAATGGTGAGGGGAAAAACATGACAATATTTATCTAAAATGTATTGACTACAATGTTTTTCCAGTATGCCATAACCTATGAATATGCAAATATTAAAGGTAGAGTACTAATCTTACATGTTCTTTAATTTTTTTATATACAGTTTGATGAAGAAATCTGAGGAAATCCCAAAGCTTATTCAGGGTTTTATGACATCTAAACTCTTAATAAAATATTTCCCATTTCTGGATTTTCTTGGGTGAAAGCGGTTCCTATTTAACATACAAACAAATTTAGATTCTAATCTGAGTTTGACTTCCAAAGAAGTGGATAGAGTTCTCTATGCTGTCAGCTTGTCAACCTGTTTTGTGGGATCAGGGCTTCTCCTGGATTGTAAAAGTAGCCTGGGAGGCAGTCTGCTGTTGGGGCCAGCAATAGTGTTGACCTCACTGAAGGAGGGGGTGATACTGTTGGCCGGGCATAGCCTTGAAATCAAATGTCAGTTTTTTTAGCATCTCCAAGTTATTTCTTCCTCAGCAGCTTTTTGAAAAAATGCTAAGGCAAGTTAAACAAGCTCTGCTCTTTGACCTTAATTATTTGAATAGTACCATGGGCTGACTTTCACTGATGCTTGAAATTGACAAGACCTAAATTAGCTACATACTGAAGGCTTTTGCCTTCTAACTGCCTTGCAGAGCAGGCTAGGCGAATAGCCAGGACTACCAATGTGTACCTGTTTACTCATAATCTATTCCTCTCTAATGAAAGTAAATATTGTGTGAGTGTGTCACCCATCCACCCCATTTTCCCTCCTTTCCAATTGTCCTTATTCTCTTTTGCCTGTTCAGATATCTGGTAATGTTTGGTGCACCCCCTCCTCAAAAAGCTGTCCTTAAATCCAACAGTTTTCAACAATTACCAATCAGTTTCCAATTATCCTTTTTTGGGAAAGTTTGTTGAGCCAATAAGTCAGTTTACAGCTAATGAGAACCCTGGAGGAAAGGGATTATCTAGACCCATTTTACTCAGGTTTTAGCCTGGGATTTAGTACTGAGACAGCCTTAGACACATTTGTCAATGACCTGTGGTAGAGTGAGGATGGTAATGGCACATCCATCCTTGTGCTCCTTGATCACACAGCAACTTTCAATACCATTGACCACAGTATCCATCTAAGCCAGCTCCATAGGTTGCAAATTGGGGTGCTGTTTTACAATTCTCTCTTTTTTTCCAGAACCAGTCTAGTCAGTGTTGGTTGAGATAGAGAGATCACTTCTTAGGCCCCTCCTGTGGGTACCAAAGGGTTTTTCTCTCTCCTGCCTCCTTGTCAACATCTACATGAAGCTTCTGGGTGAAGTCATCTGCCAGTTTGGGATTCAATGTAATTAGTATGCTTATGATACTCAATTATATTTTTCGTTCAAAGTTGATATGCAGTTGGAATGAGGTCGTTTTGAACTTGCAGTTCCTGCTTGTAGAACAGGTGTTCAGAAAGGCCTTTGCACAACTCCATTTAATGCCCCAGTTGCACCTTTTCCGAAACCAAACAGACCTTTACACAATAATGCCCTAGTTACTTTACAGCTTGACTACTGCAATGTGCTCTACATAGAGCTGCTCTTGAAGACTACCCAGAAGCTTCAACTGGTCCTGAATGCTGTGGCATAAATAGTGATGGGCATGCCCGGGTATGTCCATTTAATAAGTGTGCTTTGTGAGCTGCGCTAGTTGCCAGTTTGCTTCCAGGTGCCATTTGAGGTGCTTGTTACTTATAAAACTCTACATGGCATACAGCCTGGTTACTTGAGGGATTACTAGTCCCTCAAAGCACCTTTCCTGCAAATTCAATTGTGCAGGACCAGCACAGTTTAAATAATGTGATCTATTGTGACCCTAAAAATATAACTTCTCTGCAGCAGCTCCTGCCCTCTGCAATTAGATTATCCCAATATCTGGATGCCCCCCCCCACTCTGCTGTTGTTTAGAAGAATCATGAAGATAGTATCAATAATAATAGGTGGCTTGAGTGCAATCCCAAAACATCTGGAGTATCACTTGAACACCACTGACATTGATAAATCACCATCAGTCCATTGCAAAAGACAGCTATATTTGGAACAGCTTACATCTTGCAATGGTACTTCTAGCACTATCAAACTACAGCTGCCTATACCAGGTCCTTGGGAAACACTAAGTGGATAAAAATACCAAATCCAATCTAAACATCTGGTTGACTGCAATGAACCATAACAATTAATAATCATAAGCTATTATTATGGTTGGTTGCATAGTCAGCAAGATGTTTAGACCAGATTTGGCATTATCCACCTACTGACCGCTTTCAAAGGACTTAGGATAAGCAATTGCTGTTGTTTGATAGTGTTAAAGGTATTGTTGTAGGATGAAAACTGGTCAAAATAAAGCTGCCTTATTATTTGTTATTATTATTTGTGTCCAAGGAATTATTTACAACCTTGGTAGAAGATGAGACAAAATGCTAATATATGAAGACAAGCTACTAAAATAAACAATCATAATAAACAGAAATTAAACTGTAGATGTTAATTCTATTTATTTTTTGCACTAGTGACTCTACAGAGTTACAAAGCCATAATGGAAAGTTTAACAGATTGTTGGTATTAAAGAAGAATAAAGTAAGTAGACTTTTGTCAACTTGGGGCAAGTAAGTGTGAAGCATCCATTTCATTTCACTGCAAGAACTTGATATTCACCAGTCATGAGTGTGGAAGGTGCAGACCTTAAGGAGTTCTTCATAAGAAAACAGAAAAAAAATAAGAATTAAGAGATAGAACTAAATAAATTGTTCTACAATAGCACAGAGTGGCTTACAAACTGTTTAATCATTATAGAATCTTTTGTTGTACTGACTATTCCAGCCCCAATTTGAATCCCTGCCATCCCAAGATAACTAGAGCATGTCAGATTGGGGGCGGGGGGGGGGGGAGAAACCATGAAAATATTTATCTAACCACTTGATAGCTATGTGTTTAACTCCACATTAGTCTACAAATTGTTGGCAGCATGGAAACAAAAAAGATATATTCTATAGATAATGAGATTGAAAAAAGACCTTCAAAAGATGCATATTCTACTCTGCATCATTAAAATATCATCACTGTAAGTGCTTTTAAATTATTCCTTAGTAGAGTTAAGTTCTATTTTTTAAAAAAAGAAATAACAGCCCTATCCCAATTGGCTTCTTCACCTTTATCTCTGAGGAACTTGACAGAAGTGTTAAAAAGTGAACAAAAGAAAGAAATTTTTATGTCATCTTTAATCAAAAACAGTTGTGATATATACCGCAATGAAGAAAACAACATTCCCAGAGCTCTGATATATTTTTCACATAACCATTTGCCATAAATTTAAAATATCTTTCCAATGTAACTTATTACAACTAATATTTAGTTTTCTCTTTGTCACAAGTTATCTCATCCTTTGAATGTGTTTTATATCAAGTTCTAGTACAATGGTGTTATAAGCCTTCTTTTTAAATTATCTTTAAAAATAGAAAAAAGATATTCAAATGATGGGGCAGATATTTATTTATTGGATTTTCATCCTGCCTTTATTACAGTATTTTATAATTCACTTAAGGCAGTGAACATAAGTAATACTCCCCACTTCTATTTTCCCAACAACAATAACCCTGTGAAGTGAGTTGGGCTAAGAAAGAGAGCAACTGACCCAAAGTCATCCAGCTAGCTATCATGCCTAAGGTAGAATTAAAATTCACAAATCCCAATGTAACCTCTTGAATTTGCAAGATGAATGGTCAAGCCTAAAAATCCACTTATAGAAGCTCTGGACCTAAAGAGTAATAACAACAATATCTGATGTATCTGATGCCCTACAAAAGAACTGGAAAAACATTTGGATACAATAAAATGGACAGATTATCAAATCATCAACTCCAAAAAGTTGCACTGTTTGGAAATATAGTATATTATAATATTTTTTACTAGCCTAGATGTTTATGAAGGATCGAATAGTCATAAGTTCCAAATCTAGTTAGAGTTATCTGGTAGATTGCATGTAGATTATTATTAATGTTGCTCTGTATTATTCATTTACATTTTTAGCTTTTAAGTTAAATTACAATAACAAGCTCGTGTGTGTGCGTGCGTGTGTGCACGTGCCTTGAAGTCACTCTTGACTCGTGGCAACTGCCTGGACTAGTCCCTACAATTTTCTTGGCAAGTGACCTTCTTCCTGGGGCTGAGAGAGAATTGGTCCAAGGTCACCCAGCTGGCTTCATGCCTAAAGTGTAACTAAAACTCATGGTTTCCTCGTTTCTAGACAAGGGGTAGGCAACCTTGGCTCTTTTATGACTTGTGGACTTCAACTCCCAGAATTCCTGAGCCAGCATGGCTCAGCTTGGAAATGTCTCACTTTTTCCTCAGCATGGCTGGCTCAGGAATTCTGGGAGTTGAAGTCCACGAGTCATAAAAGAGCCAAGGTTGTCTACTCCTGCACTAGACCAAACTAGTTCTAACAGACTAAGTAGTATAAACTTATATTGTTTGTGATGGGAAACATTGCCAAAACAAGGTACAGGGTTAGTTACAATCTAGCAATGTCTGGAAATGCCCTCCTATATCCTGTTTTACATTCTGCCAGAATTACATTTATAATCAGCTTGAAACAAAATTTCTACCATTGAAATGGATAAATGTCATTCATCTTAATCTAAGACTCCTACCTGAAGATGAACATTTGGCAAGTCCTTCAAGAGACTGCAGATATTCCTCCCCAAGATATTTTTCAAAGGTATCTTCACTTGGTGCAGCTAAGCATTCTGTGCCATCTTTGAACAAACTATCTTTGGCTTCAGATTGGAACATCTGGAAGACATCTTTCTGAGTTCCATGGCTTCCAAATAGTTTCTGTAAAAATTAACAGAAGCAGGATTTCAGTACTTATAATATTAATAAATAAGTTTCCAGTGAATGTATTAAATTTATTGTACTTGGTACTATTTCTCCTTTTTATTTGTGCCTGGCATTTCTGGAGGAATTTTATAATTGGATGCTTCTCGCGACCAACTTGCCACAACCAAGTCACTGTGACCAATTTACCATGGCCAAATCACCACAGCCAACTCGCCACAGGACAAGAATCATACTAATGAAAGAAATGGTAGAATAGAATCATTAAGTAAAGAATTCAAAGGAGGGACAAAATGAAATGTGAATGACAAAAATTAAAATCATGTTTAATTATTTTAAATAACTAAATTGAATTGTTGAATTGTCCAATGGCGAGCTGTCCTGCACTGAGTTGGCCAATGTTCCATCTATGAAAGCTGATCCACATCTTCGCCGTGTATATATGCTACATAACTTTACTATTAAACATAATAGTCTTAATTCAGAGATTACCTGTTGCTCAAGTACCACCTTTTTAACCACTTCTGCTCGTTCAGGTCTTGATACTACTGCATGATTGCAAACTTGGGCCAAGTGACATCTAATATATTCATCATGACGACATCGTTCACCATTTAGGTTCAGAAGAACAAAATTAGAAGCCGTTAAGCCACTTGCCCAAGCAGGTTTGTTCTCACCTATAAAAAATGATTAAAATCATTAACAAGAATAAGGACTCCCTGCATCACTATGCATATATTTTCCTTATTAGCCGAACTCCATGGAAAGGGGAGATGGGACTTTGCCAGCTGCTCCCCCCCCAATGCCATTTTGCATCCCACTGGGATACAGTCCATACAACAATGTAATAGTTCCAAACTTCTTTGGAGTGGTGGGTATACATGACATTTTGTCAGAATGTTCATATTTATTTATTTAATATATGGCATATACATGGATCAGCAATATATATTAACATTTCATCTAAATCAGCATGTTCATAAAATGGCTACCATGGAAACAAAGACAGTCAGAAAACACCTAAGCAGAAATACTCCCCATTCCTTTCACCAAATGCTAACTACAATAACCAGTTTTTGTATTTTGTTCTGGTCAACTGTGCACATTCTAATGAACAAAGGCATGGGCTGAAGTTTTTTTTTCATCTTTTAAGGACACAAAATCCAGAGGTATTCTTGGACATAAATGCAATGTTTTACTTTGTAGTTTAAGAGCTCCCTCTATGTATGTGTGTTTATGTGTGTATGTGTGTGTGTGTGTCTGTGTAGAAAGGGAGAGAGAAAGAAAAAAAGAATTTATGGTCTCCCAGTTTCGAACCTGATAGTTTAACCACTACATAAATCTGACTTTTATATGTTTAGGTCTACATCTCTATGTCTATGACTTTAATTAAAAAAATCTAACTAAGAAAAATATGTGGCACAAGTTGCCGGGCAAGAACCAAGAGTATTGTCCAGTCATCTTGTACCAGTAGGAAGCATGCTGAAAACTTAAAAGCAGATATACAATTTTTTTGTTGGGAGATATTTGCAACAGCATATGATAAGGCAATATTGTCAATACAGCTTGCAATATCAAGTGTGAACTAGCATAATTCTAGCCTATAAGAGAATAACCAAAGAGAATGGTGGATACAGATTTGGATTTAAAGATGTGAATGAGATCTATTAAATTCTGGATAATTAAATTCTTTGTTCTCAGTGACCACTCTAGCAAAGACATCTCTTTAACAAAGCTGTTAGTAATAAGAAAAATAATCTAAGAATGTAACAATAAAATTCATACATTTACCTGCAATATAAAAAGTCCAAGATGGTATGATATGGTTATAGATTGCATGAAAAATGGGCTACTAATTTTGGACATAATACTTGGGAAAGAATGTAGGTATCTGTATTCATTGTTAGTAGTAGTTAATAAATGTTAATTAATTAATTAAACTGTCATAATTTAAAAGAAGATTTTTCTAAAATGTCTATTTAAGAGGGAGGAGGGACAATTATTTGTTGAAAAGAAGGTCAGAAGTTTTTATATGTTTCTTAACTTCAGTTTTCGTTTTCTTTTCTGTTTTTCTTTCTGTTTCTCTTTTATTATATGTAAAATTTTAATATAAATAAACAAATAAATAAATACAAAATATGATGGAATGAAGCCCATTAGAATAGACTAAAAATTACAAACTCCTCCTTCACATTTAGAAATAAATAAGAGCACAGGTGTAATAGATTGGAAATGTGCAGGGTTTTTCTTCTCTTTGCTAGGTGTTTTGAAGAAAGCAACCAAACTTCTCGCTGTCCAAAGTTCTTCTCTGTACAATAGATTCACAACTGTTTCAGAGTTGAATTATGTGGCTGACAATAAAAACCAGAGTCCACTGAGAGCAATGTGTAAGCTAAGGAGAAACAGACTACTCTGAGATAAAAGACACTTTACTTCCAAATAATTCAGCCATCTAGAATCTCCATGAAACAGAACATCTACAACAAGAGCTGGTAGGCTAAGAAAATACTATGCAAAGGAGATTGCCAAAAGAGACTGTAAAGCCAAAGCTGTTTGGAGAGAAGGGGAAACTATCTTAAAGGAGCAAAAGCAGAAATAAAAGCAAAATCCAGCAGCTCTACAGAACTAAGAAATTGGAAAATGTTGTAAATTGGCTTTTACTAGGCCAATAAAAATATCTGGATGTCAGTTAAGTTAGATGTAGAAGTAGAATATGTTTATGTTAGTAAATTTTACACTACATGTGTATCTATGAAGCAATAATGAAAACTGCTTGAGGGTGAAATTTATTTCTACTTGTCTCTCCTGCCTGTGCTGAAATCTTTCAAAAGTAACATTTCGCAGACATTGAATATTTCCAGGTATAAATTAATTTGTTAGAACTTGTTAGATAAAATTGTTCACATCTTATCCACAGGCCAACAGTAAGCCATCATTAACTAACCTACCCATTATACAGGTAGCCCTCATTAACAAGAGTATTTGGGATTTGAATTTCCATCATTAAGTGATACAGTCATAATGCTTAATGACTGTGCTGCTTCATAACACAACACTGATAATCCTCCAGGACCTTTGGTTGTTAAGCAAGGACCTCACGTGAAGTCAATTTCCTGTTGACCTCCAACAAACAAAGTCAATGGGGAAAATTGCAAGTCATGGTCACAACAAGCCTTTCTTTTTCTATGTCACTCACAAGCAGGTTGATGAGCAAGAGCTACATGCAGGTGAGAGCTGTACTATGCAGGTGGGTGGTATGAGCAGGTGCACATTACAGAGAACAGATGGGTAAGCAGATATTATGGAATAGAGATCCCCATGCCGCCCAAGAGTTCCTTAGAAGAAAAAATGGCAGGGTGGGAGCAACATGCAGGAATGACTTGCAACCTTCTGCCAGCTACCCCATTGACTTTGCTTTGTTGGAAATCAGCAGGGAAAGTTGCACATAGTGATCATGTGGTTATGGGAAACTATAACTGTCATAAGTGTGAGCAGTTTGCCAAGCACCTGAATCATGATAACATGACTATGAGGACTTTGAGGCTGATGTTTGTATCTCCCTCATCACTAAACAATTGCTGAACTTAGTGGTTACTAAGCAAAGACTATCTGTACTACTTTCTTTTCCATGAACTTATCAAAATTAATCTGATCCTTCAAACCAGAGAGTGCCTGCACTTAAAGCGGTATATAAGTCTCATAAATAAATAAATAATAAACCAGTAGTTCTCAACCTTCCTAATGCCATGATCCTTTAATACAGTTCCTCATGTTGTGGTGACCCCCAACCCCCCATCCAGCTGGCCGGGGGGTATCAAAAACTTGACCAAAAAAAAGAGAGGAAAAAATGGGAAAGTATAGGTAGTCCTCGATTTACAACAATTCGCTTAGTGACTGTTTGAAGTTACAACAGCACTGAAAAAGCGAATTATGATCATTTTTCACACTTATGATTGTTGCAGCATCCCCAGGGTCATGTGATTTACATTCGGATGCTTGACAACTGATTCATACTTATGACGTTCACAGTGTCCCAGGATCACGTGATCAATGGCCAGGAGGCGTGGCCAGCTGATCACTCAGGTTGCAGAGTGCCTGTGGGGGGGAATCTGTGGGTCTCTGGGATGGGATTGGGGTGGGTGCCTGCCTTCCTTCCCTCCCTTCTCTCCCCTTGTCCCTTCCATCCTTTTCTTCCTTTCCTTCATCTCCCTCTTAGTCTCTTCCTCCTTCCCTCCCTCTTTCCCATTGTCCCTTCCTTCTTTCCTTCACCTCCTTCTTAGTCTCTTCTTCCTTCCCTCCCTCTCTCCCATTGTCCCTTCCTTCTTTCCTTCCTTTCCTTCACCTCCCTTAGTCTCTTCCTCCTTCCCTTCCTCTTTCCCATTGTCCCTTCCTTCTTTCCTTCCTTTCCTTCCCCTCCCTCTTAGTCCCTTCCTTCCTTCCCTCTTTGTCCCTTCCTTCCTTCCTTCCTTCCTTCCTTCCTTCCTCCCTTCCATTTTCCTTCCTTCCCTCTCTCATTGTCCCTTATTTCCCTCCCTCTTCGTCCCTTCCTTCCTCCCCCCTCCATGTCCAGGAAGAGACAAGGGAAGGGGGACAGGCTGCCAGAGGCAGAGGTGAGCTCCGCCCAGCTCACTTGCTTAGCTTCGCCAGAAAACATGTCGCTTGCTAAGTTAGCAGAAGCCCCAGGATCAGCGCCGGGCTACAGCTGATTCGCATTTCTGCTAAATTAGCAAGCGGCATGTTTTCTAGCAAAGCTCAAGCAAGTTTGCTGGGCAGGAGCCAAGGAGAGCTGCTACAGCTGACCTGCTTCTTGGCTGCTCTGCAGAAGCGCGGATCAGCTGTAGAGGTTCGCCCCGATCCTGGACAAGAGGGAAGGAAGTACGGAAGGGAGGAAAGAGGGAGAGAAGGAGGGACAAAGAGGGAAGCGAAGGAAGGAAGGAAGGAAGGAAGGAAGGAAGGAAGGGAAAGGACAAGGAGAGAGAGGGAGGGAAGGAGGGACAAAGAGGGAGGTGAAGGAAAGGAAGGAATGAAGGAAGGAAGGAAGGAAGGAAGGGAGGGACAATGGGAGAGGGAGGGAAGGAGGAAGGAGGGACAAAGAGGGAGGGAAGGAAAGGAAATTCCAGCCAGCAGAGGCTTGGCAGCCCGGCTGCCGAGGAACAGAAGAGCGCAAGGCCAAGGAGAAGAAGGTGGCGGTTTCCTCCCAAAGGGGGCTCCTTTTCTCCACCCCTTCCCTGGGTTTGTGGGGAATTTCTCATCACCAACGCTGACAGGTGCTCCTTCGAGCCCACCGCGAGCTTTCTCACCCCCTTTGCTTCTCCCTCCTGCTTTCGTGAGGATTGTGGCGCCCTTGGGAAGCCGATTGTGCTTTGAAGCTTAGGAGAGGAGGAGGAGTCCTTTCCTCCTTCCCTCCCTCTCTCCCTGTCAAGCCCCAGCAGGCTTGACATGAATGGGCGGCGGAGGAGTCAAGGATGGGCGGGGTGGCAAATGAGACCAGCGGCCGTCGCCAGACCTCCCGGCTGACAAGTGCAAGTTCGTGGGTCGCCAGTTGACGGGCGCAGGAGTTGGGTGCTGCGGCGGCCTCCCCTTCGCTGACCTGCGTGCACGAGAAGAAGTCAATCTGGTTGCTGCACAATGAGTCTCTGGGGAGGGCGGAGCCTTGCTCTGCGCTCTTCATGCACCCTCTGCAGGGCACATTTGGTAGAATTCGTGCAGACTGCCGCCAAGCAGCATATTTTCCAAACAAGTGAGGTGGAGCGGGGGGGAGGGAGAGAAGGCAGTTGACAAGCCCTGCCTAAGACCATCGGAAATATGTGTTTTCTAATGGTCTTAGGCGACCCCTGTGAAAGACTCGTGTGACCCCCTCCAAAAGGGTCGCGACCCACAGGTTGAGAACCGCTGCTTCAAACTGAACATTTGAGAGGAGACAAAGTATTTGAGGCATGTAGCAATGGGAGATTTTTCTTTTTTCTGTGCTGCTCTAAGGTTTCCAAGAACACAAATGCTTGAATTTTCTGCCTGATATCCCAGAATTACTTGGCCAGCCTTAGTATTCTGCATCTTGACTTGAGTAAGTGCATTCAACTTTGTCTGGTACAACTCCAGCACTCCAGTACTTCTTATTTTACTGGATGATGCTTTCTAATGCAATGTGATTCTGGACCACAGTTAATTTATCTTTTAAACATTATATTGTTATATTATAACCATTCTTATTATAATTAATTAATTATTATATATTATATTATTATATTACTTTATTGGTTATATTATTACCATTCTTTTGATTACACACGACAATCTTCATCGGTCTACTTTTTCTCAACTATCATAAATAAAATGATCAACACTTCATATATATTTTTATGATTCCATACCTTCTGTGACCTCAGTGATGGTGGTATGTTTAACAAAAGCTACATTTCCTGCTTCAATCAAGCATCTGGAAAATACAACCAAATAAAAGGGTAAGTGGCACATTTCATTTCTTGCCTTCCATAGGTTCCTCCTCTGAAAAATGATTCAAAAATAATTCAAAACCAATAGCCATTTAAGCATTTCTGCACTGTTTTCATAGAATTTTAATTTGGAATTAAGAAGAATTATAAATAGTTGTAAGCTGCAAAGATTATGCCCTGTTTTTTATGATATTACAGTAATATGCTTGGGATTGCTTTCTACATGTTAATATAAAACATTTAACGGCTAGATATAAAGACAGTATAATATATTTATATTGTGGGATAGTAGTTATCATTATACCACTAGGTGGGGTAGTAGCTGCATCCAAAGAGGACTTCCAATCTAGTTTCAGTATCAAGGCTTTGTCGGGCAGTGTGTGTTACAATACTTATAATAACAATAAAAGACTATAATAAGACTATTCATATGATTCTGTGCAGAGGCTCCACTAACTTATCACAATCAGATTTCAAGGAAGACTCAGAATCATGTTTGGAAAGTACACTACAGAATCTTGTATCTGCCTAGGATTCTCAGTCCTAGGCATTATTTAAAATGTTATTGTTTTAGTAGTTTCATTTCTCCAAAATAACAAAATAAAATATAAAAAGGGAATATTTTTAAAAATTGGGTGGTAGAGTGACAAATTAAGGCAAAACACACAATGATTTGGAACTGATGCCCTATAAGATTTCCTGTGGAAGAATTCAGGAAATGCTTTAGTTAGTCTAAAATCTGAAGATAAGCTTTTCATAGATCAGTTTTACTTTACATGAGGGTGAAGGGTTACATTTTCTTCCCCTCCAGTATGCTGACTTCTATGAGCCATCTGAAACTATTTGTTCTGACAGTTCACTCATTTGCATGTACTATCTCAGTTGATTAGACTTTTTAATTCCCACAAATATATAACACATAGGTCTGTTATTAGAGGCTAACATCTACAGGAAGGAATCCTGAACTGCAAGTGGAAAATGAAGAATGTCTTCTCTTTTATGCCCTTTTATGACTTGTGGACTTCAACTCCCAGAATTCCTAGCTCAGGAATTCTGGGAGTTGAATCCCCAAGTCCTAAAGGAGCCATAGTTCCCCACCTCTGATTGTATTCCAAGGAAAGCAACCTACCGAAGAGCACCTTTATAACCATAGAATATTTCATTGCTGTTAGGTTTACACTTGTATTTCTGAGAGAGGCTACCTTCACCACCGCTGCCTTTGCACAGTTTGCACAATGGAGACTCAGGAGGTGCTCCTGGCGCACAGCTTTCTTCGAAGAATTGATCTAGCATGGGATCAGAGAACAAACCTTTTAATACATGTGTTTATATTCTTATAAAGTAACATACCCCAACTGGCTGGTTGTCTACTTGATGTGTTGGATTTCAGCTTGCATAACGCCCATAAAGCATGGTAAATGCATCAGATTAGGGGGTCAAGCAACCCTGTAGTTGTAATAAAACTAAATATTGGCACACTAGATCTTCAAAATCTGGACCCAAACCAAAAATATTATTATTGGCAAGCATGACCAGCTTAAACATGTAAGCTACAAAATTCTGTCTTTTCATCATATGTATGGTAACTGATTTTATCCATTACAAATTAAGGAAATATCAACAGCGTAGTTCATCAAAAGGAACTGACATGAACACACAAAATTTGTTCTCAGCCATAATAGATTAAACAGAAAGACTACGCTTGTACTTCATACAAATCATTTTCAAAGAATGATCAACTTCAATAAAGAGGATCAATTGCGGAGGTAATAAGGTGGTCACCAGTTTACCTTCTGGAAAAAAGTGCATTTTGTGATTGGCTGTGTTCAAAGAGATAGCCATTTTATGAAAAGCAAGTCTTCCCATTGATAGCCATTTTGTGAGGATACACAAAACATACCTTCACAAATCAGAAAGACTCTGGATCATCTTTTCTGACTAATACATTTTCTGACTAATAAAACCTATCACAGACATATATGTCTCTCCTAGCTACAAGGGATACTTTGAGATATGTCTAGCACCCCAAAATAATCTATAACTCTCCAGAAACTCAGCTGCATTCCTCAAAATGTGAAAAATGAAACTGTTTTTAACTGACTGTTCATGCTTTTAGTCAGAAAAATAAATTATTAATTACTTTACCCATCTTTTAAATAATATAGGTGATGTGTCAGAATTTTCAGAAATATAGCAGTTAAGGCTAATCATTGAAGGAAAAAACAATAAAAATGTTTTTCATTTAATTTTCATCAGGAATTCCATTTTAGATAAAAATTGAAAAATTGAATTAGGAATAGCTTTCATAATGTTCATTGCTTTCTGGTGTTCAGTTTATTTCATAAATTTCAAGGCAATAGTCTAATATTGCAAAATTCCTTTTACACTCCTTTATTATCTTAACAGAATACTATTTTAAGGACTGATATACACATATCTTAAGAAGCATTTTAATTAGGGGTAGGGCATGTAAAATGTCTTATTTAAAAACATTTTGAGTGTGATAATTTTACTAAAGGTTCACTAAATTCTGGTGCAAAATGTCCTGTTTTGGATACTTTGGGGAAGAGTCTGAAACTCTAAGACATTTCACCAAAAATGTGCTCAAGACATTTAGATCAAACATTTTGTTCACCCCTAATATTTATGTTATTTTATTTTTTTAAAAAAAAGTAATAGAAGAAAAGAACTCTAGGATCAAGGTTTTTTTTGTCATAGAACGCCCAGAACGAAGTTCCAGCACCTTTTTTGGATGGAACCTTGTAGGGTAGGCAAGGCAGGTGGTATGACATGTGTGAGTTCCGGCACCTTTTTTTTTTTTTTTTTTACAAAAAAAGCACTGTCTAGGATAGTCTCTGAAACGTTGCCAAAAAGGCGTGCCAAAGTGAGAATCTGCTTCATGCATAATGGCATAGCAGAACTTTGATTCTTAGAGAAAAGGAAACTATGAAAATCTCCATGCACTACTCTTCCTACTATCATTAATATTGCTAATGTTGCTATTTTCACTAACAAAAAAAATATTGGATGTACTGATACCCCCATTTTAAAAAGAGTAAAGCATTTTCATTTCTAACACAAGAAGGGCTGTGAATTCAAATCCATGCTGGGTCAAAAAAATGGTTTTTTGTTTTAACTTGAGTGCTTACCAGAGGATAAAAATACTGTATTAATCAACCCAATACATAAATGCACAAATGAAGATGGGACAAGGAAAGGAAAGGAAAGGAAAGGAAAGGAAAGGAAAGGAAAGGAAAGGAAATTTATATAAGGCCCCTTTCTAAAGTAGCAAATATAATATTTTCCATGTATAGCCTATCATTTTTTCTTTCTTTTTCCATGCAAAATATTTGTTATGGGGAGGGGGAAGAGACACAATTACTACCTAACCCTTTGTAATCCTTTGGAACTACAGGAGCTGTTGTCCTAGAACAGGGGTTCCCAACCAGGGGTGCTTGCATCCTCTGGGGGCGTGAGATGATATTTCAAGGGGTGCGAAAAGTTGGGTTTTCAAAATTATAGTGTATGTGCATAATTTGTTGCCGTTATTTCAAACTTTTGTTAGGGGTGCGAGAATATATCAAAAGCGTTCTAGGGGTGCAGGGTATAGGAAAGATTGGGAGTCGCTGTCCTAGAAGCACTGGATCCTTTATAGCAATGGTCTTGAACTTCAGCAACTTTAAAATGTGTGGACGTCCATAGCCAGAATGGTTCAGAAACACTGCTTTAGAGAATGGGTAAAATAGTAGTATAAAAACAAAAGCAACCAAATGGACATAAAGCCACTCACCAAAGTTACAACTAAGATTATTTTGTTTGTTTAAAAGGCCCATGGGAACATTCCAGCCAGCAGTTCTACCAACACCAGTATGACAGGACTTTTTTCCTCTCAGATTGGTCCAGTTGATTTCAGTGTCTTTTTCCTTAGCAACAGCTACAACAGTGTAGCCTTTAACTGGAAAACAAGAAGCAAACTCAGCATTCCTTGACTGAGAAATCAAATAATCTAACAGAAGGCAGGCATGATCCAGTGACTCCTTCACACCTTTTGTGAACTTTTAAAGAGAAAAGAGTTCACATGTATATAGGAATCCAAAGTATAAGCACTTGCTATTGAATTTAAAGCCATGGTTGCCATCTTAAAATGAGAAAATACTGTGTTTTCCCGAAAATAAGACCTATCCCGAAAATAAGCCGCAGCTTGATTTTTACATGTGCCCCTAATATAAGCCCTACCCCCAAAATAAGCCCTGGTTGAGACCCCGTCCACTCCATCCCACCGTCTGGTTGCATAAGGTGGGGCAAGGCACATGTGCAAAAATCAAGCTATGGCAGGGGTGGGGGTGGAGCTGCCACACGTGCCCCGCAGCTACTTACCTCAGGACTGTCGCAGCCAGGCCTCCCACACCCAACATCTGCCTCACCTCATGGCGGTGGCACCAACAACCCTGTCCAGCAGGAGCCCATGGCCGCCACCAGCCCATTTCTTCTGTGGCCACTTACCTCTGCTCACGCATGTTGCCCCCAGTCTCTATTTCACCAGCAGAGGCCTTCAGGAAAGGCCTCTGCAGTGCAGAACGGAACTCTGAATTGACATGTGTGCTTCCCCCTGGCCTCCATTTCGCCAGCAGAGGCCTTTTCCTGAGGCCTTTCCTGAAGGCCTCTGCTGGTGAAACGGAGGCCGGGGGGGTGATGTGTGCATCAACTCAGAGCTCTGTTCTGGGCTGCAGAGGCTTTTCCTGAAGACCTCTGCCAGCAAAACGAAGGCTGGGGGTAATGCGCAGCAGTGGCACGAGCAGCCACAAAAAAAGTACGCTCCTACTGGATGGGGTTGTTGGTGCTGCTGCCACGAGGTGAGACAATGGGGGAAAAAAGAAATCCCCCAATGAATGGATGAAAAAATATATATAAGATCAGGTCTTATTTTTGGGGAAACATAGTAGTACATGTAGTCCTCAACTTACAACAGTTCATTTAGTGGCTATTTGAAGTTACAATGGCACTGAAAAAAGTGACATGACCATTTTTCATACTTACGACCGTTGCAGCACTCTTATGTCACGTGATCAACATTCAGACAGTTGGCAACTGGTTCAGTTTTACATGTATAGTTGCAGTGTTCCAGGGTCATGCAATTAACTTTTGCAACCTTCTGACAAGCAAAGTCAATCTGGGGAAGCCAAATTCATTTAACAACTATGTTACTAACTTAATAACTGCAGTGACTCACTTAACAACTGCAGCAGGAAAGGTCACAAAATGGGGCAAAATTTACTTAACAACTGTCTCAGCAAAAGAAATTTTGGGCTTAGTTGTGGTCGTAAGTTGAGGACTATCTGTATTTTGGCAAAAAGAGGAATTTTCTTCAACAGATTAGGAAGATACCGTATATACCAACGTATAAGGCGACTTCCGCAAGCGCTAAAATCGGCGCCAAAGACAGGGGTCATCTTATATGCCGAGTCGTCTTATACACCAGAAATACTGGTAGTTTCCGGCATATAAGACAACGTTCTAGGAATGCGGCTCGGCGACAAAGACAGGGATCGTCTTATATGCTGGGTCGCCTTGTACGCCAGCATATACGGTAGGTACAAAAATATTTGACTAAGTTTTAAATTGCCAAATAAAAGTTTAGATGTTTGCAGATCTCTTAGGTGGCAATATATTTACCATAATTACTTACCTGTTGTACCTTTCGTGGGATCTATGCATGCAGCAGAATCTTCAGCTGGAAGAAATAAAAGTAAACAGGATTTGGAGAAGTCACTTCAAGCTCAAGCAATTTTCATCTACAGTACTTTTGTCTGAGCTACAGGAAAGATGTCTTGTACACATAACCCTAAAAGCAGATAATGCCAAGCATATTTGCCAGATCAAGGGCTCCATTATGGAATGCAAGATCTGAACTGAAGACATAATATCTATAATCTAGGATTGATAAACCTAGTGAACAAAAAGATGGACTCATTTTTTCTAGACCAACAAGTCATGGTTTTTAAATCTGAATTCTGCCTCTCTCTATAATAATAACAACAACAACAACAACAACAACACCATTGGCATTGATAAATTCACTATTAGTCAGTTACAAAAGGCGGCCTTACTAGGAACTGCTTCCATCCTGCGACGATACCTGTAATACCATCAAACATCCACATCTGCCTATCCCAGGTACTGGGTAAGGACTCGATGGGTAGACAAAATGCCAAATCCAGTCTGAACATCTGGCTGACTGTGTGATGATCCATAATAATAATAATAATAAAGTTGGAAGGGACCTTGGAGGTCATCTAGTCCAAACCCCTGCTCAGGCAGAAAACTCTATACCATTTCAGACAAATGGCTGTCCAGTCTCTTCTTAAAAACTTCCAGTGTTGGAGCATTCACCGCTTCTGGAGGCAGGTTGTTTCATTGGTTATTTATTCTAACTGTCAGGATGTTTCTCCTTAGTTCTAGGTTGCTTCTCTTCTTGATTAGTTTCCATACGTTGCTTCTTCAGGTGCTTTGGAAAATAGCTTGACTCCCTCTTTTTTGTGGTAGCCCCTGAGATATTGGAACACTGTTATCATATCCCACCTCGTCCTTCTCTTCATTAGACTAGACCACAGGTCGGCAACCTGCGGCTCCGGAGCCGCATGCGGCTCTTTGAGCCTTCCCCTGTGGCTCCCAGCCTCCTCTGCCTTTGCAGAGAGAGACAGAGACAGAGACAGAGAGAGGCAATTGTGCTTCCCTGCTTCTCTCTCTCTCTCTCTCTCCCTCCCTCCCTCTCTCTCTTTGTGTTTGTGTGTGTGTGTGTATGTGTGTGTATGTGTAAAAGAGAGTGCACTCACAGTGTTCTCCGAGGAGCTGAAAAGCTTACTGGACGGAGCTCCTCCCTTTGCTGCATCTCTGCAGGAAGCAGGAAGGGCAGGAGAGAGCTAGCTAGCCCAGCTAGGCTGACTCAGGAATTCTGGGAGTTGAAGTCCATGAGTCATAAAAGAGATTGCTTACCCCTGAGCTTGTTGGACAACAGCTTGAAGCTTGCAAGGTGAGCAGCAGATAGGAGGGGGGGGGAGAGAGAGAGAAAGAGAGAAAGAGAGAGAGAGGGAGAGAGAGAGAGAGAGAGAGAGAGAGAAAAGAGAGAGAGAAAGAAAGAGAGTGGGGAAGAGGAGTGGCAGACCAAGGGCAGATAGGGAGGGAGAGAGAGAGACACAGAGAGAGAGAGACCCTTTTGACATCTAAAATGAAGATAACACTGCAGATATCCTTTTTTTACCTGTGTGTGTATGTAATTTTATTCTCTTAAAGCATTTTCTTGGTGATCATTGTTTTAATAGTATGGATATTCCCAAGAGTCATATTTTATTTTTAATGTGTGTGTGTGTATGTATACATACACACACACACCTATAATAAAGGTAAAAAAGGATATATGCAGTGTTATCTTCGTTTTAGATATCAAAAGGGTTTTGTGGCTCCCGGTGTTTTGTTTTTGGTGGGAAATGGGTCCAAGTGGCTCTTTGAGTGTTTTGGGTTACCTACCCCTGGACTAGACATACCCAATTCCAGTAGCTATTCCTTATATGCTTTAGCCTCCAGTCCCCTAATCATCTTTGTTGCTCTTCTCTGTACTCTTTCTAGAGTCTCAACATCTTTTTTACATCGCGATGACCAAAACTGAATGCAGTATTCCAAGTGTGGCCTTACCAAGGCATTGTAAAATGGTATTAACACTTCATGTGATCTTGATTCTATCCCTCTATTAATGCAGCCTAGCACTGTGTTGGCCTTTTTGGCAGCTATAGCACACTGCTGGCTCATATTTAAGTGATTGTCCACTAGGACTCCGAGGTCCCTCTCACAGTTACTACTATTGAGCAAGGTACCCCCTATACTATATCTGTGCATTTGATTTTTCTTGCCTAAATGTAGAACCTTGCTTTTTTTACCATTGAATTTCATTTTGTTAGATAGTACCCAGTGTTCAAGTCTGTCCAGATCCTTCTGTTTCTTAAGCCTGTCTTCTGGAGTGTTGGCTATTCCTGCCAGCTTGGTGTCGTCTGCAAATTTGATGAGTTTCCCATCTATCCCCCCATCCAAATCATTGATGAAGATGTTGAAGAGCCCAGAACAGAGCCTGGGGCACCCCACTACACACTTCCTTCCATGTAGATGCGGTTCCATTGAGGAATGGAACTGAGTATGGCCGGTCAGCCAACTACGGATCCATCTGGTGGTGATGCTGTCTACCCCACATTTTTTTATCTTGTCAAGTAATAGACTGTGATCTACTTTATCAAATGCCTTACTGAAGTCCAAGTAAATTATATCCACAGCATTCCTCTGATCCACTAATTTTGTCACTCAATTTCTATCCATCTCTTTACAATTTTGCAATAGGCCATGCATATTGCTCTTCATTAACTTATATGCAGAGCACATCATGAGAAAGGCAGGGCTAGATGAATCAAACGTTGGAATGAAGATTGCCGGGAGAAATATCAACAACCTAAGATATGCAGATGATACCACTCTAATGGCAGAAAGTGAAGAGGAACTAAAGAGCCTCTTGATGCGGGTGAAGAAGGAGAGTGCAAAAGTAGGCTTGAAACTCAACATTAAGAAAACCAAAATCATGGCATCCGGCCCTCTCAATTCCTGGCAAATAGATGGGGAAGAAATGGAGGTAGTGACAGATTTTATTTTTCTGGGCTCCAAGATCACCTCAGATGGGGACTGCAGCCAAGAAATTAAAAGACGCTTGCTCCTGGGGAGGAAAGCTATGGCAAATTTAGACAGCATACTAAAAAGCAGAGACATCACCCTGCCAACAAAAGTGCGTATAGTCAAGGCCATGGTTTTCCCAGTTGCAATGTATGGCTGTGAAAGTTGGACCATAAGAAAGGCTGAGCGCCAAAGAATTGAGGCCTTTGAACTATGGTGCTGGAGAAGACTCCTGCGAGTCCCGTGGACTGCAAGGCGTTCAAACCGGTCAGTCCTAGAAGAGATCAACCCCGACTGCTCTTTAGAAGGCCAGATCCTGAAGTTGAAACTCAAATACTTTGGCCACCTAATGAGAAGGAAGGACTCACTGGAAAAGGGCCTAATGCTGGGAAAGATTGAGGGCAATAGAAGAAGGGGACGACAGAGAATGAGATGGCTGGATGGAGTCACTGAAGTAATAGGTGAGAACTTAAATGGACTCCAGAAGATGGTAGAGGACAGGAAGACCTGGAGGAACGTTGTCCATGGGGTCGTGATGGATCGGACACGACTTCGCAATTAACAACAATAACAAATTGCTCTTCAGTGATGAAATAAAAGCATTAAATCAATTGGTGGATATGACAATGAAAAGGAAGAAAGACCATGCCTCAGCTATGATCCAAGAACACTGGGCAGGATGAGGTGATTTGGAACAGATTTTTCTCCCTTAGATCAGATGCCTGAAGGCATAACTTTAGTGAAACATTGCTATGTGACACCTAAGTTTTTCTTAGTCTAAAGCACAGAGCTAAAATGGCATGCCATCAGAAGTCATTTTCATGCACACAGTTGTGGCTATTGATGGCAGTGAGATTGCTTCTGAAGACCATCTATTGAAAGACTAGTAGCCTTTGTTATGCAATTGGATAGCCACTATGAAACAAACTACTGGAATAAATGGGCCAGGTCACTTCTTATCTACTTACAACAGCTATTGATCTACTGAGTTCATACTTACAAGGGATTTCTGTCAATACTGGGACAAGGCCACATTTTCCTGCAGTGTAGACATGCCCTCCATCCAAGGTAATGGCATCAGCTTCTCCTTTCTGCGAAGACCAATGTATTTTCTATCAGCAAACTCATTTCCTAATATGTGTCCTTATATGGTTAAAATGAATCATTCATATTTAGTAGGGATCCCCAGGTTTAAAGAAGAAAAAAATACATTGAGTAGAAGAAAAAAATCCCACCAACATTTTGAATAACTAATCTTGTCTAAGCACACTCTGTGGGGCAGAGAGATGATTGACCACTGAGAGAACAAAACTGAAAATTGGGCAGGGAAATAAGTATCTTATAAAAGGGCCTATCTGACAGGCTAGTATTATGCGAGAGTGCCCTCAAGTCTGCCTATTGTAATTTCTATATTTTTAAACAAGAAGAAGAAAAAATGAAGCATTATCTTCTTTGTTGCCTGCTGTAGGGTCTTCTGGTTTCCATATATTTTTTTCCAAAAGAGTGGGGAGAGATTATCACAGAAGAGTCAAGGTAAATCCAACATTTTCAGGATCTTAGTCCATAGAAATCAAGCTACAAGAATTCCTAAATTTCCAAAAATCTCTGTAGAAATTCCAAACACAACATAGTGGAAGGAATAATATTGACAATATTGACCTAACTGAACAGAGCAATAGAGGGGTGTATGATCTCATTCTATGGATGGACATTTTCTGGTTCACTTTGGGATTTAAATATTTCAGGGACCAACTCTTGTCCCAGAAGACATAAAATACAAAGAGGACAGGTTACAATTCCAGTCAAAATAAAACAAATAGAGAAAAATAATGGAGAGAGAGCTCCAAATGAAGGAGATAAAATGTAAACAGACCACTGAGCATGTTCCCTGAGAACAAAATGGCACTGGTACTGAGGACAGAGATAGCACAGTATGTGCAGACGTAAATCATGAACAGAAGCATCAGCTCTCCTTATACTGGTACTCTTCTAATCATTCCCAGCTTAGAAAAATAGGGGTTATAATTCAACATATCTGTAGGACCTCAGGGGGGAAAACGCTGCACTATGTACTCAATGCATTGTTGCAAAGGCCTCTTGCCCCATATGAAAGAGTCACACCATGGGATTCAATAGGTATATTCAATTAACATGTTCCAGCAAAATCACAAACTTGCTTGTTTATTTTACTAGAGTCTTCTTCATAGATTGCACCCAGTGCCCTATTATTATTATTTTTAAATTAACTAACGTGCAAATCTGGTCTCAGGCACTATTTTCAAGTGAAAAGATATGTGGAAACTTCAAACACTTACTATGATTTTGACAAGGCAGTCTTCTGTAGTTTCTGCAACAGCACATTCAATGTCACCATTGCTCTGTCCACTCCACACATCACATTTTTTCTGTTCAGCCTTGCCCACTGCACACCACACAATTCTTTCTGTGGTACCAGGATCTGGATCAGATCTCTCTAAAGGACAAGAAAATTCCTCAGTTAACCAAGTATTTAGATCCTCAGAATGTGGCAAACTAATTGCTGGTAAACAGAGACCACCAATGTAAAGAACCACTGTAAACGTCGGTGTACAATCTTTATATTCTAGACTCAAATAGGGTTATTACTGTCTATTCACTACAATGTGAAATCACAGCTTTCAGTTCTTTAGCTGTTGATTTCTTCCCAAGAACCTAGGTTGTTATAATGTATTGATGGTTTTTCAATTCTGGCCTTGATTATTAGTGTTATATTATTATTATATAAATAATGATATTCAACTGTCTTGATTGTTGTAAGGAAAATCAGCAAAACAAAATTGATGGGGAAAAGAACACAAAAAATGTCCTTTAAACTTTATAGCAGTTGGATTGCTTTTGTTCTAGAACACTAGTATACAAGATACTTAAAGGGTCATTTGGCCATTTTAATAATGGCAATAGCAGAAAAATAGTAGAAATTACAACATTTACATGATCCAATTAAAACATACATGTACTAAGAAAAATTTTAGACCTCTTTATTGTATGCTCGAGGTTTACATAGTTAACTATTTTATTTAGCATGAAAAGGTTTCTGCTCTAGCTCCCAGATAACCTAAAACAGACTGCCTGGCTCCTGGGGGTGCAACTTTTCTACCTCAGGTCACTTGATTTTTTTTTATTTATTTAGCATATGGCAGCTTGAAAAAATGATTAAATGGTATACCCCTGTACTTAAAAAAAAAAAAAGCCCAGAAACTGAAATAGGTACTTGGCAAAAGAAAAAAGCTTATATACTGTATGTGCATTTTGATCTTTAACCTTGCATTTACACATTTAGAAATTTCACTTCAGTTTAAGTGTGTTTGTGTATATATGTGTAATACCTGCACATATACATACCATAGGTACTACTAGTGCTTTTTTTTCTAAAATAAAAAAAAGATGCCGTAACTCACACGTCCTACAACCCGCCTTGCCTACCCTTCAAGGTTCCATCCAAAAAAGGTGCCGGAACTCCGTTCTGGGCATTGTATGAAAAAAAAAAGCCCTGGGTACTACACATGCACCCTCTCTCTCACAAACACACATACACAGAGCAGGGGAATGGGAGGGCATGGTGGCCTGTGTTTCAGACTGGATATTGTGGAAGCTGTTGCCACAGTCTCAATCTGGACAGAATTTTCTTAGGTAGTTTAGAGTCAAATCAGCATGAGCACAGGAAAATTAAATGGTAATTTTCACTAGCGTGTCTCTGTAACCAAACTAGCATTTAATGTCTACAAAACTTTTTTTCCCATCTGCCTGGAGCTTGTTCCACATTATGACATAAAATGGGGGTTGTGACTTGTTACTGTAATAGTTTTTTGTCATGATTTTCAAGAAGGAAAAATCTGGGTCCACACACTGACTTTTGCTCTCCCATTCTTTTGTTTATGGTTTGCTATTATTACCCTTTTTATTACTTCAGTGCTATCCTCAGCTAGCAAAACAGAGTAAAATATGGGTCTTAGCCACAAACAAATTGGACCTAATCCTGTTATAACACTGATGAGCTAAAGCATAAAGGTTTCTACTTTGACAAAAGTTTACCATTTTCCTCATCACAGAAATTTTAGAAGCAGTCAACAGACTGAATTGCAATTAAGCTAGTAATGCTGATAGCAAGTAAACTAATTATTTTTTTAACTGTTTTCTAATGCCTCGTTTTCGATGGCTGGTGTTCATCACCATGATTTCATAATGCATAACAAGTCCTGCCCTGTTTACCTCTTTTGAGATTCTTTATTGCAGCACAGTACTTAGGACCCAGGTAAAGTTCAGCATCTGCTCCTTCAGGCACTTGAACAAGACTGAATGTGCTGTCCTTAAACAGGAGATCTTTGCCAGAGTCAAGAGGGGAGGCAAACAGTTGGCACCTTGATTGGTCTTGCTTGTTCTGTTCCTAAAATAAGAGAAAAATGAATCAAAGAAGAATGAGATGAAGATGGAATATGAAAGTGAATGGAATATTTATTTTATTTATTCAATTTAGTATAACTGTTCATCTCATTTTTACATGACTCTAAATGGCTTGCAATAAAACATGTTTTATATTATGTATATTACTATGTATATTAAAGTTATATATAATACAGGCGTGTCAATTTCATTGAGGGCTGCATTAGCATTGCGGTTGCCCTCGGGGGCCAAGTGGCCAGAGTGGGTGCGGCCTACTGGGTGGACATGGATGGAGTCGGTGTGGCCTACTGGGTGGGCGTGGTTTCAGCAGGCAGCGGGACACTCTCCTCACAGTGCCGAGAGGTTGAGCCGGGTGGTGCAAAGCTCGCCAACTTTGCACCTTGCTGCCTGCTGAAACTGGGCAGGCTGGGGCTAGGCAACATTGCACTTCTCGTCAGATTTGTGCCACCCAGCTCAGCTCTTGGCGCTGTGAGGAGAGCGCCCCGCTGCCTGCTGAAACCGGGCAGGCTGGGAACTGGGCAACCTTGCGTTTCTTTTTGGATTTGCGCCACCCGGCTCAGCCTCTCTGCACTGTGAGGAGAGTGCCCTGCTGCCTGCCAAAACCCCTCCCCCAGAGCCCATCAAGCCAGATATGTGAAGTAGGCAAGGGCCATTTGCTGGCCACTTCCAGGTGATGGTGTATTTCTTCATTCCTCACAAAGGGTGACACCTCCCCAGCATGTACCCAGGGGGTGGGGCTGAGGCGGCAGGAGCTTGTTCCTCACTGTTTCCAGACACCTTGCGGAGCTAAGACTGAATGCGTTTCAGCATAGATGGCCACCACAAAATTGTACATTAGCTCCTGGCTGGCCTGGGCCAGGGCCAAGGCAGCGGAGACCATTCCCTCACTGTTTCCAAGATGGCTTTGCGGCCCCATGAAACCATTTCGCGGGCCACCTCCGGCCCCCGGGCCTTGTGTTTGATATGTCTGATATAATATAAAATAAAAATAAAAACCCATACAGCTGGGCATGCTCTAACACCATCCATATAACCAGGAGATAGGCTTTAAGTCACACTCAGGGTCCCAGGCTCAAGCACAAAACCAAGCTTTCAAGACCTCAAAAAAGGTCAATGGGGTGGGGTCAATCTAATCTCAGAGGGGATGATGCTCCAAAGGGCAGACGCCATAGTAAAAAAAAGGTTCTCCTCCTGGGTTTCTGCCTGTCTGATAGCACTCAAAGTGTACCCCTTCTGCCAAATCAGATAGGACTGGTAGAGACAATTGGGGAAGAATAATCCCGTATATAGCTCAGTCCAAAGCCACAAAGGATTTTAAATTGATAACCAGCATTTTGAATTTCACTGGAATCATATCAAAAGCCAGTACAGTTTACGGAGCACTGGTGTTACATGTCCCAAGTAACTGGCACCAGTAACTGCTTTCATTGCCATATTTTGTACCAGTTAAAGCTTTCAAATAGTCTTCAAGATCAGCCCCATATAAAATGCACTACAGTAGTCCAATCTGGAGATCACAAGGGCATGATTGACTGTGAGCAGGGCCCCCTCCCCTTTGAGAGACCAGAGAGAAATTAGGAGGAACAAAGCATTTTGAATAATGCAACTGAAAATAATGAAAAACTCAGGAGCTACATTTCAGATAGGAAGTTTTGGAGAAGACTTACTGCAGTGTGAACAAACTCAGAATTAAATTCAGAACTTTTTCTAAACCAGAGTCTGCAACTGAACAGGAAAGAGAATGGTAGCATTTTGGCTTTATGTTAACCAAAATGTTCTCTGAACCACCATCTCTCCTTCCTTGCATATAATTCTGTTCCAATTCTCTTTATTCAAATGATTTATAGAATAAACCTTTTTAAACGAAGGAACACTATCAGGAATCAAACATGTCAATTCTCTTTTTCTTTCTCCATTTTATTTTCCAATTATTTCTTCTTTCTTTTTATTTTGCAGTTAGTAGCTTTAATATTTCAATTATTTGCTACCCTCGATTTATCTGAACAATCTTCCACACAATGCTATTATTGTTCAAATATCATTCTGTCTTATTCATGAAATGTTATGAAAGAGAGGGGTTCAGATAATGAAAACTTTCACCTGTAATTCTTCCATATTTTCTCACAATTTAGTTCATTTACAAAAGGAAATGGAATCAATGCACTGTCCTTTAACTGAAACCTGTAGAAACCACCCATCTGAAGACATCCAGACTTCTTTGGATAAATCTGCTTGGGAATTTGGGCATAATTTTGACTTGGTAGCAAATTATTACCTTTCCCTTTAAAAGATAGTGGTAAAATTATTATTTTTAGACTTCAGTATAGTGAAAATTTATACTTATTGTTTATTTGGCTGGTTTCTTTATGTGTAGCAATGTAAAATATCAATTCCTCCATGAAATTATCACAATGATTTCATTACTTTTTTTACTAATGGGTCAGGCAAATTTTCAATTATATGAAATTTATTAACCATTGCCCAAGAGACAGAGTGCTGTCCACCAAAAGAACTTATGTTCTCTAACTGACTGTGGTAGAAATGGTTCACAATATGAGGTCAGGAACAATTTAAAAGATTATTTCTTTGTTCTTTTTAAAATGAACTTCGTAGTACACAGATCAGTGAAAACAGCTTTATGTGTGGTATTCGCTTTTCATGTTATCACTTTTCTACTAGTAACTTTAATACATTATTCTTCTTTTAGTCCTTCATAAAATTTGAATTGAGACATTTGTGATATTTATTTTTGACCTCTGTTTTATAAAAAGGAAAAACTTGATAAATACCAGTGCATAAGAGAGGAGTGCCCAGATTTTGTCTGCCCGGCCATCCACAGTTCGTGCCACCACAGCATGAGACGACACTCTAGCCAAGTGACAGGATTCATATTGTTCAACAGGCTTTCTGGTGCCATCAAGACAAAGTAACTCATACTTGCTTCTTTCTTCTGGACTATCAGCTGTGAAAAATGAAAGGGAACAGTGAGTGTATCTAAGAGAACAAAGTAGGCTCCATCATATTGTTGTTGTTTTTTATGTCATTTGTCTTATTTAATGCCCAATTATTTCAAATATGAAAAATAAAGACTTTTCCTATACCCGCACCGACCCCACCTTTTCCCTACTCCTTTAAAACATGAACAGGGTGAGGCCCATTCAGATCCTGGAGGGAAGAGGGCACCTCATTCCAAAGGCCAGGCACTGTAATGGAGAAGGTGCATTTCTGGGGTGCTGATAGATGGAATTACTTAATTGAAGGAACAAAGAGTGCACCAAACCTGCCAAATTGAATTGGGAGACAGGCAGTCTCTCAAGTAATTATGGGAGACAGGGAGTCTCTCAGATAACTCCCTATGCCATATAGGGCTTTATAGGTAACAACTAATTCCTTCAATGACACCTGGAAACAAACTGGAAACCAATGCAGCTTGTGAAGTCAAGGTGTTACTTCAGTGCTCTTGCTCCTGCATTCTACCAACTGATTAAATATCTGCAGATCTGGGTGGCCAAACAGCCACAACCACTCAGTATTAATAGGACTGCATGAGATATTATATGATCAAAAATGGAACGGTTTGACACTACCCACAGTGGAAGAATAATTGGTGAAGATGATGGAACTTGCAGACATGGCTAAATTAACCTCTTTGATTAGAGAAAAAATATATCACTAGATAAAGCTGTGCAAAGGCCTTTCTGAAGGTCACAGCTGACACCTGCTCATTTAGCAATAGCTATGACTCCAAGAAGACCCCCCATGTTGTACACCATTCTTGAATAGGAAAATGTAGTCCCACACATTGTGTAAAGGTTTGGACAGGGAGGAATTGAGTCAGTCCTATTAATACTGAGTGGTTGTGGCTGTTTGGCCACCCAGATCTGCAGATATTTAATCTCTGACCTTGTATTGCATACAAGGTCAGAGATTAAATATCTGCAGATCTGGATGGCCAAACAGCCACAACCACTCAGTATTAATAGGACTGACTCAATTCCTCCCTATCCAAAACTTCACACTCCTCAGGCATCAGGACAGGAACTCAACAGCTTTCTTTGTCTGACCAGGGTTGAAATATATAATTGAATCTTATTGGCATTACTGACTGTATCAAACCAAAACTAGTGGATGATCTCATCGAGTGGCTTCATGTTGATGTTGAAAAGGAAGGGAGAGAGAATAGAACCCTACAGAGCCATACACAGGAAAGGTTTAGGGAGTAATCTCTCTCCCTCCCCTCATTAAATTTAATTGGAACTGGTTCTGGAGAAAGAAACAGAACCACCAAAAAGTGGTGCCCCAATCCCCAACCAACAGAATTGTCTCAGTAGGATACCATGATTGACATATTGAAAGATCAAGGAACACAAGGATGATTTATCACCACCATCTCACCTCTTCTACAGATAATCTATAATGTGACCACAACAGTTTCAGTACTAAATCATGGCTGAAATCTGACTGAAATAAAACTAGATAATCAGTTTTCTCCAGGATTCTCAATAGCTGCAAATCAAGAATCTTCTCAACAATCTTACATAGAAATTGAAAGTTAGAGGCTGTTTGATAATTATTGAAGACTGTTGGGTTCAAGGATGGCCTATGGGGAGGGGGGTGCATTACCCCCTCTATTAAGGTTGGGACACCACTCCATCCATCAAAGACGTTAACACTACAGCATGGAGCAATCTGTTGGTTTCAAAACCCAGAAGGGATCCAGATGTAGTAAACAGGTAACTGAACTGATAGCACAAAGAGCCCTGTCCACTTCCTCAGGAGTCACTGACTCAAAAGGAGTGATACAGTACAAGCCCTGGCACCTGTCTATTTTAGGCAGCAACTAGGGCCACAGTTGAACTGCCCACCAGGAAAACTCTAAGCTCTCTCTGGAACTCCACCCAATTCACCAATCCTCTAGGGCAGGGGTAGGCAACCTTGTCTCTTTTATGACTCATGGACTGACTTCAATTCCCAGAATTCTTGAGCCAGCATGCGAGTCATAAAAGAGCCAAGGTTGCCTACCCCTGCCCTAGAGCAGGTGAATCGAACAGATCCTATCTCCCTTGCATATTCAATGCAATACCATTTTTTTTCTTTCAATTGTAGACCATCATACAATATCATAAACTGGTTTTGACATTCCTGTTTCAAAACCAGTTTGTCACATATTCTTGTAAGACTGTTGTTTGAGAAATTTCCACATTTAATGTGCTTGGTACATTTTGCTTAAACACATGTACAGTGCTATATATATATATATATATATATATATATATATTATATATATATATATATATATATATATATATATATATATATATATATATATATATATATATATATTTCACAGATCTATAAAAAAAATGCTAAGTATTTCTGGAACCCCTCTACAAAAATAGAGTTGAGAACCCAATAGATGAGTACTTGATCAAATGAAATCCACCTGCAAATGATCATAGGTTTAAGCACTTATTAGTATTTGAACTTACAGGTTAGCATTTTCCCAAATTCATACCTAATACAATTGCCTCATTCACAAAAGCCACATCTCCTTTTCCAGACTTCAGACACCTTATGAAAAAAAGGATAAAATATTAGGAAGGAGATGGTGGTTAAGTATTACATTTCTTGCATATTGTATGATGCTGTCACCAACATTTCTGCTTTTTCAACAGAACAGAAACAACCTACCCAAACTGCCCAAATATAGATATCTAAAGCCAATGAGGCACTGGCTTAGGGCACCAAAATTTAGGATGCGCCAATACTGCCACTATTCCAAAAACAGGCGATTCTAAAAATACAAATCTTTACATTGATGGAAGGTAGCATCATCAGTCAATGTGACCTAAGGGCATCATATATCCTCAAACAAACACTGTAGACACCATAGTTTAATTATTGTTTCTTACCAAGAAAATGAATAAATATGAACTGAATAAAGAACTTTTACATGAAATGGGTAGTATGAATATGGAAGAATAATTAAGGCAGGAGGAAGACAACTGATTTCTCTCTGGTTAGGCAATTTGTCCATCTAGTCCAATATTGTTCAAACAGACTGGCAGCAGTTCTTTAGGATCTAAGGCAAAACACTTTGCCATCAGTGAAGACTGAAAACCAGAAGCGTGCCTAGTTGAAGACCCTGAAATTTTTGGTAAATAAGGTAAGCAATGAATTACCGACTTACATCTTGTTACAAGTAGTCCTCAACTTGCGATCACAATTGAGCTAAAACTTTCTGTTGCTAAGTGAGACAGTGGTAAAATGAGTTTGGCTCATTTTATGACCTTTCTTGCCACAGTAGATAAGTGAATTACTGCAGTTGTTAAATTAGTATCATAGTTCTTAAGTGAATCTGAGTTCCCCATTGACTTTGCTTATCAGAAGATCACTGTGATGGCTTTCCTGGTCACTTCTCTGGACAATTCTCCAGACAGCACTTTGGACGAGAAAGAACTGGGTGTAGGGACATGAGGGGGGGGGGACATGGAGGAATGTCCACAGATTGCCAGAGGCTCTGAGCCAGAAGCGGTGAGGCCAAGCATTGCAGAGCAATCACAGGAGGAGTGACAAGACAAGCAGCCAGCTGAGCTAGGGACAGGATAAGCACAGCTGCAGATGGAAAGCCTAGAGGCTTTGGGCAAAGAGGGTGCACAGCTGAAGCTGGCCAATGGAGATGAGGAAGAACTGCCTCCTCCTCCCAATCTGAGAGTGCAAAAGGCTGAGAGGAGGCGGGAGCAACAAAGGTCAACCAGGCTATTTGCAAAGTCATAGCCTCACTCCTCTTGATGGGATGCACCAGGGAGTGACTAGCTCAGTGTGTGGAGTGAAACAACACTGGGAACAATGCATCTGTTTCCTTGTGGTGTGTTCTTTAGCCACCGTAATTCTTCCTTGACTACCAGATCTGGATTCTGTATCTCAAATTTCAGATTGTGCCTCTTGAATTATGGACTTGCCTTTGCCTTGCAGACTTGCTTTTGCTTTTCAGACAAGTCCTTGCCCTATGGACTGGTGTCAGGTTTTCCTTGATGTGAGGAATTTCAGGTGAAAACTATTTGGGGCTTGGGAAGCCTCAATAAAGACTTCTAATGCCCATGGAGTATGTGTGGGTGTGGGTGTGGGGGGGAGAATAAGATAGTTACAAAAACTGATCACATGACCCCAGGACACTGCAACTGTTGTAAATATGAGTCAGTTGCGAAGTGTCTGAATTTTGATTATGTGGATGTTGCAAAGGTTATAAGTGAGAAAAATGGTAATAAGTCACTTTTTTCAGTGCCATTGTAACTTCAAATGGTCACTAAACAACTGTACTGAAAAAGGGAAATCTGGGAAGAAATGGATGAAAGGCAAATGGAACATATATGTTCAAAAGATTCACAATGGATAACATTTTAGAGTTCCATTATCCAATAGAGGAGTTTAATACTGTACTCCTACCACAGCGGTTCTCAACCTGTGGGTCGCGACCCCATTTGGGGTTGAACGACCATTTCATGGGGGTCGCCAAACAACGCAGTCTGCCATTTTTCCCCCTTTTCCTTAGCTGTGCTACTCCCTTTTATTCTATTGGCTTTTGAAAGCCAATAGAATAGACTCTCTTGAATAGAGTCCAATTCTATTGGCTTTCAAAAGCCAACAGGAATTGTCCAGGCTGTCTCTGCCCTGCTGAGCCCGCCAAAAGTCCCAGTCTGCAAACGGTGCTGCAAGTTGTCTGCAGCAAAGGCGAGCTGTCTGGAAGTTTCCACCCCTCCCTGCTGGGCAACTACTAAAACTGCAAGTAAAAGAGGGCCAGGGGTGGGAGGTGGGAGGCCGGCGGGCGCAGGGAGGGTTGCTGGCGTGCGTGGTGCCCGGTGGGTGCCTTACCTTCCTTGGGCTGGGCCAGCTGGTGGCCCAGTCGGTGGTCGCCCTGCGCCGTTGCTGCCCCTTGTCAGCTACACCTCAACCGGCGCAGGGGGCGGCACCACGCATGCATGGCGCTCCCGGGCAGGGAAAGCCCTTGACTTACGACCAGTTGGGTAGTCCTCGACTTACGACCGGTTGGGTAGTCCTCGACTTACGACCGGTTGGGTAGTCCTCGACTTACGACCGGTCGGGTAGTCCTCGACTTATGACCGGTTGGGTAGTCCTCGACTTACGACCGGTTGGGGGGGCGCGGCATTAAAAAGGTTGAGAACCACTGTTCTACCATGTAAAAATACTTAGCCTACTTCCCAAAGATGTTTTTTTCATGAGGCAACTGGACTTTCTTGTTTTTATTTGAAGACATTTTGCTTCTCATCCAAGAAGCTTTTTCAGCTCTCACTGGATGGTGGGGGAGGATTTATACTCCTTGCAGATATTGAAATGATCAGCTCTCTGCAAGGAGTATAAATCCTTCCATTCCCCCACCATCCAGTCAGAGCTGAAGAAGCTTCTTGGATGAGAAGCGAAACATCTTCAAAGAAAAACAAGAAAGTTCAGTTACCTCATGAAAAAGTATCTTTGGGATAACTATGACCTGGATGACTGAGAATCTCCATAGACACTTAACCTACTTCTTGGTGCAGACAGTAACAGGACTGATTGTTGAACTGGCTGTGTATTGTCCTAGTCAGCCATCTAATTGTAGGCAGCTAATATATTAACAAATAGAAGCAATAAACAAGAACTTATTGGGTATTCCCGATGGTAACACTTAGGGGAAAAATGATCAGCTGAAAAACAATTATAGCACTAAGAATGGAGAAGGAATAGTGGGCACTATACAACAGGCTGGGAGCATTGTAGAGCACACCAGCAGTGCTTTGCTGCATGCAGTGGAGGATGGTCAGGGATATGATCTACAACAAATCTGAGCTACTTTCCAGGAGTAGGAGGGCTACTAACAATTTGAGATTTTAAAGAGCTCCATGCAGCACTAGTTCCCTACTACACATGCAACATGCATCTAAAAGAGGCTTGACTTCCATGACCATGTACCTGACCACACCCTGAGGACAACATTGCAACATCAACTGGAGGCTAAATCATATAAGGAACGGTTGCTGGAATTGGGTATGTCTAGTTTAACGAAGAGAAGGACAAGGGAGGACATGATAGCAGTGTTCCAATATCTCAGGGGCTGCCACAAAGAAGAGGGAGTCTAGCTATTTTCCAAAGCGCCTGAAGGCAGGACAAGAAGTAACTGATGGAAACTAATCAAGGAGAGAAGCAACCTAGAACAAAGGAGAAACTTCCTGACAGTTAGAACAATTAACCAGTGGAACAATCTGCCTCCAGAAGCGGTGAATGCTCCAACACTGGAAGTTTTTAAGACGAGACTGGACAGCCATTTGTCTGAAATGGTGTAGGGTTTCCTGCCTGAGCAAGGAGTTGAACTAGATGACCTCCAAGGTCCCTTCCAACTTTATTATTATTATTGTTGTTGTTGTTGTTGTTGTTGTTGTTGTTATTATTATTATTATTATTATTATTATTATTATTTGGAATTACCCACCACGGCAATGTCTATAATAAAGCTCATGTATATGTGGCTTTGGGAATTTTAAAATGAGACTCTGCATATTATAGTCTCTGAGTGATATTGCTCTTGTCCCCGCCTTATTTGATGATCCCTTGTTTCGCCTTCATTTCTATCATAGTTTTTTTATTTCTTAATTAAATAGTCCTTCACAGTACTTTGATTCTCCCTCCATGAAGTGCTATTTCTCTGTTCACTATGCATAACAGCAAAGTGAATGCAGCAAGTCCTTTTTTGTCTATGCACAAATCTCCCAGAATTCAGTTCCCATGGGACCTAAGAGCAACTGGAGACTTCTTGGGATGGGGGGGAGGTGTTATCAGAGCTGCTTTGCCAGCTTCTTCCCCCATCCCCTAGAAATTTTTGGCTCAGTTGTGGTTGTACATTGAGGACTACCTGTATATGAAGGCTAAAGGGATCTGCATATCACCTAAGAGGGAAATGGAACAATAAGATTGTAATTATCTCTTAAATAAAGGTTGGAAGTCTGTCACATTTTTAACTTTTTTTTTCTTTCTTTTTCATTTCCTATACTTTCTTATTTTTTCTCTTTTTCTTTCTTTTTCTTTCAAGTTGTTTTTTATTCTATGAAAAAAATCTTAATAAATGTAAATTTTAAAAAGGTGAGGGCATATACCCTTATAAAATATATATTTGGGAGTAACTATAGAAGCATGATAAAAGTTTACCATGGCTTATGAGGGAAAGCATATGTCACTTACTGATAAGCTCCTGCATATCCAACAAAGGGATCATTCCAGTCACAGTTTCCATCACAAATACTGCACAGATTTGATACAGGGTTGAGACCCGGGACACAACTAGCAACAAAAAATCTTTCCACAGCTATAAAAAGAAATCAGATGGATAAGTCATTGACAGTTCTTTATTAGCAGCATACTATTTAAGAAAGTATGGTCCTCACAAGGTTGTATAAGTAGACACACTTTTTAGATTCTGTTCCATAACTACATAAGGCAATAAAAATGTAAGCAATAAATAATATTGTTTTATATATGAAACATTTTACTGTAGCTGTGTTTGAAAAGAAAAAGGGAGAAGCAAAGAAAAAAGAAAAGATGAAGAAACATTCTATTATTAAACACACATACACATCACACAGTTTTCTTTTGGAATAAACAAGTTGTGCAGAATACAAAAAAGAGGATAATAAATAATACACCAAAGAAATTAAGTATATAAGATAAGAAAAAGAAAAAGAAGTTTATGTAAAACTGGTTTATATCCATACCATTCATTCAGCCTTTCCATATAACCATATATTTCTTTGCGTGCAAACTAACCTTTCTTTATCACACTCATAACTACGACATGATTTGTTCTTTGTTTTAGGGACTTCAACAGATTATACAAAACCCGTAAGCTTCATGATACCAGTTTCATGATTATGACAATTCAGATGGAGCATGCACTTTTATGAACTTTAATGGTGCCAGACTCATTGATATTCTCTGGTATCTTCTTAGTTCCTCCTGTAGTATAATTTATTTCAGACAATTCTGTCCAGGATAAATAATGTCTTAAAGGAAGTATTGCCCTTACTGAGAGGCTTTTTGAATTTCATGAATTTAAGTACTATGCTACTAAATCTCCGAGGAATTGTTCAAAAAAAGACTAATTGGACCAGGAATAGAGGCTTATGATATAAGCGTGCAAAAATGTCAAACTAAAGGGAATAGAACTGAAACATTGGTTCAATTTTTGATATAACTCTATTCTCAATATGAGCACTTGCTAAAAGCCAAAAAAACTGTTATTACAAGAACTAATAAAGAGAGATGTATTTCTACATTGTACACACACACAAAAAAAAATTACAGAAGATTTTGGTGTCATTTGATATACATGCATGCAGTCCCACCACAATTTCCCATATTCCACACCGAGATAGCATTCTACTCTTTCTTGTCTATCTACAGTAGTTCCCCAGATGAATTAATCCTAAAATATCCACTACCTAAATTTTATGCCCAGGGTGGCCTGTGGCTTGAAAAAGCTGATTGAAGCCATGACATTAGGGAAACCTTCTGTGGTTGTGAAGTGGATATCCACTGTTCATCTCCCTTTTTTTTTCTAGTTTCTTTCAGAAATTTATCGTATCTGTCCTAGCTCTATAAGTTGTAAACAAAGGCAAGAGACAATTATTACAATTAATCTATTGTTTGTTTGTTTATTTATAAAATTTAACTCACCCATCTTATCCCTTCTTACAATTAGAAATATCCTCCAGCATATTCTCCATAACTTCTAGAAAACGGGCAAATTCTACTACACAGAGCAAGCAGATTTAGCAGAGATCATTTAACCAATCGATTTGTTTTTTTCTTTCTGCTTTATTTTATATTAGGTATTATACCTGTATTATAATCTGTGGTCACTAGAATAAACTTTAGTTACTAAATTTGCCCCAAAAACTCAAAGTAAAACTCCAACAAGATTTTAATATGACTATATAATACATATAATATGTATTTATAATGAAGTGTGTTGATTTTGTTACAAATTGGTCACTGTTCAAAAGGTTTAAGTATATCTGATTAACATGACTAGATCTCCCAGTAGCCACTGAACAACATCAATCATTATAGGACTTGGGCTATAGTTGACTCTCTTTGAACTCAACTGAATCATAAAGTTGCTATTATAGAGATAAAATGTACATTGTCTTGAAGTCCCAGAGAGATATGCATGGGAGGGAGGGAGGGATATTAAGGCACCAGATTAAAAAAGCAGGAGACTGTGAATTCTAGTCCCACCTTAGGCATGAAAGCTGGCTCGGTGCCTTTGGGCCAGTCACTTTCAGCCCAACCCACTCAGAGGGAGTGGGAGACAATAGGAGAAGGAATGTGTGTAGGATATACTCTCTACCTTGAGTTATTTGTAAAAATAATAAAGACGGGATACAAATAAATAAATAAAATAAATATGAATAGAGGTGGATGATAAGTAGACAGATAGACAAATAGAGATATAGAGATTTTTCTTACCTCTTTCTACAGGTTCCATTGATGTTCCATCCCACTGCATCAAATTCAGTTTCAGTAAAGTTCCTATTGGGATGTTCCAGCCTGCAGATCTTTTAAAACCAGTGTGACAAGATTTCTTCTTTCTGAGATCTTCTAATGAAGAAATAGTTCCTTTCTTCACAACAGCAATGGCATAATAACTAGTAGTAGATACTGACAAAGAGAGAAGGAAAAATCAAATATAGGTTATAGCTATAGTCTCTGTCTATTTCCAAAAAAAATTAAACACTGTTTAAGAAACACATTTCATTATCATGTTAATATCCTATACCATAGAGGAAACAGCTGGTTATATTAAGCAAAATATATATTTAGGAGTGGCTTGCCAGTGTGCTTCTATGATAATTGCTTGTACTGTTAACGGGCTGAAACTATTTGTATAAATGAATTAAATAAATTAAAGACTAAAACACCATGACTGTGTTAGGGTGAAATTGATTACAGCAAATGTAAAACATGGAAAACATTGAAAAAAAGGAAAGACACGCTTTCTCTTTAGATCAGTCCAGAGGGCTTCACCAGTTGGGCCTCTGGTAAATGTGGTCCAAAGAAAACATCAGGCCACTATCACAATTAAAAGAGAGGAAGGAGTTGAAATTCTGAAAGGGGGTTTCTTAAACTGACTTAGTTTCCAGAGGTTTGTGTGCAGGAGTCTGGCAGTCTGAGGCAGAGCAGAAAAATCCTGAGCATGTGAAATTATCCTAGTACTGCATCCTTGAATCACAGATCCAAAATTCATCTTAAATGCATTTGGAGTCTCAGAAGTCAGTACCAAGAAAGGGCATTGTGGTATTTCTCAAACTTGACAACTTGAAAATATATGGACTTCAACTCCCAGAATTCCCAGGCCTTTCTGGAGAATTCCAGGAGTTAAGTCCACACATCTTCATATTTTCAAGTTTGACTGGACTAGAACATAAATCTGGTATGCTGCAAATCCCCAAATCCAGTCTCTGGTGGCTTTATTTGAGTGAATTTCCAAGTGGATTCTGCATGGTGAGTTATAGCAACCCACACATCCAGTTGAATTCATATTAGCAACTTTATCTTTATTTCATTATCAAATTTGGAAGGGCACTTATCTATCCTACAAAACTGTGGTTGGCAAATATCAACAATATTATAACAGTAAAAATCCAAGATAAAGTCCTCTTATTAAAAACACAAAATATCTATGCTGTATGTCTACCCCAGAACTCCCAAATTAACAGCTTGGCCCAAATGCCTGGGGGAAGAGCCGGGTTTTCATGGTAGCCAGGTAGTATGGTTGGAGTTACCCATGCCCTGAGCAGATCCCAGGACAGAGAAGGGCCCATATCACCTCCCCTCCCAATGAGCAACCATTGGATGAATTATGCAGCCTCTTTGCATTTTCAGATCAATCCTATTAAAATTTACCTCCTGAGTCTCTTTTATGAAGTTCAGCTACAACAGGCTTTAGATAATAAGGGTTCAAGCTTGCTTCTAAAATAAGACCAGCATCTAAAGTGATGGCATCTGCTTCTGAGTTCTAAAAAACATAAAAGTAGGATAATGACAGGATATTTCTTTGGCATAAAATATGTCATGAATGTATGACAGTTATATCTCCTTGTTTCTTACTAGATCTGGAAATTAACATGATTTCCTTTTCATTCACAATGTGTTTGCCATGAAGAATGATAATGCTATCTTGAACAGAGCACTGGGCCTCTAGGTCAGTTGATAATTTCATGGTTTCCTGAAATTAACTTCTGGCCAAAATCAGGGGCATTCATAGAGAAGATCAAGAAAGTCAGGATGATGCTAAAACTGTATGATTGAAGCTAGGCCCCTTTATTATATGTTGAAGGGAAGGGAAGGGAAGGGGAGGGGAGGGGAGGGGAGGGAGGAGAAAGGAAAGGAAAGAAAAGGCCAGGAAAGGGGAAGGGAAGGGAATGGAAGGGAAGGGAAGGGAAGAGAGGATTTAATTACATGATCATGATGGCCTTTGACTATTTAGACTAGGGGTCCACAACCCACTACCGGGCCATGGCCTATTTGGAATTGGGCCATGTGAATGGCTGATTGGGCCATGTGAATGGCTGATTGGAGTGTGCATAGATGCACAGCTCAACTTTGCGTGAATGCACCAGCCTGCTGCTCACACAGGTTGAGCTCTCTGCATGCATGCCGTCCTGTTATTTGCTCAGCCCAGTTCCCCTCTCCACCCCCCAGCTGGGCTGCCAATCCGTAAAGGTTGGGGAATACTGATTTAGACCAGGGCTTTTCAACCTTTTCACCCATTATACCACTTTTAGGATATGGCAATATCCAAGTACCACCAGTCGCCTAGCAAGGTGTCAAAAAAAGGGAAAAAAGTGATGAAGTACAGGTAGTCCTCGACTTACAACAATTTGCTTAGTGACTGTTCAAAGTTACAATGGCACTGAAAAAAGTGCTCCCCAAGGCACAGCCGAGCAAGACACCTGCCTGCCCACCCGGCGGTGCTCTTCTTCCTATCCGAGGTTTTCATTGTTGTGAGCATTTCTATTGAGGATTGGCAGGGAGGATGAGGTGGGGGGGGGTGTTTGGTTTTTATTCCCCTCCCGTCTACTGGGTGGTTGCAGCAGGTTTTGGTCACTTCACATGACCCTGGGACACTGTGACTGTCATAAATATGAATCGGTTGCCAAGCATCTGAATGTAAATCACAAGACCCTGGAGATGCTGCAACATTCCAGCTGATCAGCGCTTCTTCTGGGCTCAGCAGAAGCGCCAGGATCAATGCCACTTTCAGCTGATCGGCACTTCTTCTGGACTCAGCAGAAACGCCAGGATTCGCGCCGAGCTCCAGCTGGAGCCTGGCGCTGATCCTGGTGCTTCCGCTGAGCTCTGATAGCCCCAAAGAAGCGCTGATCCTGGCACTTCCGCTGAGCTCTGACAGCCCTGTAGCTCCAGCCATCTCTCGCTCAGGCTTGTGCGGCGCTGCCACCAGTTCAGCTCATTCCCCTCCCCCGCTACTTTTCTAGGATGGTTGCGTACCACCTGCCAGGTGCCAATGTGCCACAGGTGGTACCCGTACCACTGGTTGAAAAGCCCTGATTTAGACAACCCTCTGCAGACTTCCTGTGGTCTGCATTTTATTGATCTAATAAATAAAACATGCAAGCAATGAATGGCTGTCCCGAAATCTGAAAATTCAATAAGTGTACAAAAGCTATTTTATACTGATTGAATCATTTCAGTATAGGTCAGTTTTCCCATCATCCAAGCATATTTTTCCAAATTCTATTTCCATATATGCGATTCTACTTTCTATAGTACTTGCTCCTATTTTATTTCTATCTGGAACCTTCCAAATCAACCATTCTTTGCAAGGGAATAAAAAAAAATTAGGTTGTTTGAACAATGAACTCAGGAAGTTTCCCACTTCCCTATCCAGCTGTCAATGGTCACTTACTTTAATAGCAACTATGCACTCCTGGTGATCAGTCTTCCTCACACAAATCAGTTCTGGAAAACCCTTGGATTGTTGCTGGGAAAAGCATTCGCTCTTCAGCCTTAGGCATTTTTCCTGCTCTTCATTGGATACTGTGCACCATCTTACAGAAGAAGATGCAAGACACAGAGCTATGAAAAGAATGAAAAGGGTGCAGATAATGAATGTGCTTAAACAAGAATTGATAGTTCTCCCTTATTGAAGGTTTTTCTACAATTAAACACACATGAAATCAGATTAAAAGAGTGACTGGACTGCAGTGGACTGAATTCATTTTTATTGACTGTAGGGATGATGTTTTGCATGTCTTAGACAAGAATATCTGGACTTGTATTTCGGTTGCCACTTATTGAACAACGTCACCTGTTATTTACAATCCATTTTTATATGCAAGGTTAGTTATATTACTAATTTCATAGAATGAGAAACAGCACAGATTTTGTATATAGAAAATGTATCTTTTCTAGTTTCTAAAAGGAATTCCTCAGTTTGAAGATTTGTCAACAGACACTCCTAAAATCCAAGTAAATCCAATTTCAGTTTAAGATCACACAGGAAGAGCAGACTCAGAGAAAGAAAGTTAATAAATGAAATTAACTAGAAATAAAATTGTGGATACTGAGTATCTAAATAATTACAATTACATCATTATTATAAAAAATGATAATTTATTAAGGTGTTTAGCATGGTAAGTGATAGAAAAAATAATTGCACTTTTTAGCAGCATATTATAGATTAATTACTGAGAAAATTTTTATAGTTTGCAAAATAATTTAGAAAATGTCTTTGGGCTTCAAGAAAAGATATCAAACAGTCATTAAAGCAATTTAAATGCAATTAAGATTGAAGACAGACAAAAAAACTTTGCAAAGAGTCAAACTGGTAACCAAACATTAGAAAGCAACAAATATTGGACAGAACAGGAACGTTCTTATTATTGTACAGAAGTTAATCAGTGAAGATAATCTATACTCTTTAGGGAAGAAGTACTTAATCTTCATGCTGCTACAGAAAAGGCCATGTCACACATTTTCATCTAAATTCTCTAATTCGGGGTCCCCAACCCCTGGGCCATGGCATATTTGTGACCGGGCTGCACAATTGGTGGGCCGGTGTGCACACACACATGCAGTTCAACTTGTAAAAGTTTAAGAACATGCTGAAAAAATTGCTAAGAAAACTGCAGCAACTTGTCCATACAGTCACCAGGAGTCAAAAATTGACCTGAAAGCACACACCTACCTAAAGGATTATAAGGGTGTAGTCTAAAACATTTTAATGATGCCTGGTGGCCTATTTCTGATTTATACTATCATAATACATTCAAAAGGTTTCCAAGCTATAGCTAGATGCATATAATCTTGCCCAGTAATTAAGATTTTTTTTATGTTGTGCACTGTTCAATAACTTGCCCATCAAGTTTTTCAACCAACTTTCAAAAATCTTATTCCAAGTTATATACTGTGTTGTATTGTTTCCTAGGATAATGGAAAGCTAACACTATTTAGAGCAATTTCTCTATCTGGTTGGAAGTTGAGTTATGGCAACTGGATTTTTTTTCTTTCTTTGTTTGAAACATTTCACTGCTTACCCAAGTAAAGACTTCTTCAGACTGAAAAAGCTATGTGGATGAGCTGTGAAACCTTTCAAACAAACAAAGAAAAGAAGTCCAGTTGCTATGATTCAACTTCCAGACAACTCTATTTGGGTGACTGAGAACCTTCATTAACATATTTCACTATTTATTATATTTTTTTACAAATGTAGGGTCATTTTGCATTACATATGCATATTAATCCATTGCATATTTGTTGTTATTCAGTCTCTGTTGAATTACAGCTGTGTTGCAGTAATTTATTTCAGCAGTGTACCAGGATCACGTGTAAATTCATGACATGAGATAATTTTCATATTCTCCATTATATTACAAATGTTTATTATTGGAACTTGTACCAATGCATGACAGTAACATATGAAAATATTTACAGTCTTTGAAATAGACATTACTGATCCCTGCACTATCTCTTGCTATTAATTCTGATGGTTATGAATATTGTCATTTGAATTGAATCTGGAGACCTATGATCATCTGTTCTGCAAAAGAACTTTTATCAAGATTTTGATAAGATCACAAATTACAGGAAGATTGCATTAATCTCCCTTTGCTAATACCTCAAGGTCGTGATTTTCATTTCAGCTCCCAAATTTGCACAGATTTTTTTTTAAAAAAAATGTTGGCATATTATTTAAAATAACAGAATTAAGGCAATGTTTTGTTGATCCCTACTTCAAGGAACAACATTAAGTTACTGATAGAGCTGAAAAACTTCCCATTCTGAAATTTAGGAAAGCCACTGCCAAATAACTTTCCAAAATTTCTGCCTTCCAGATGTCTTGCACAACATATCCTATTCTTTTCAGTCCACAAAATCATATTATAAAATAAATATAATGGGTTTTTCAGACTCAGTTTTACTTTGTAATCTGTATAGAAGACAGAGATAACAATAGCAAGGACAAATTGTTAAGTGTGTCTATTCAATTCCATACCTGCCCCTTCTACCTATATTTTGTTCTAATCTCACCAGGAAAGAAGTAAAAAGTATTTGCAGGGATAATTTAGATGACAGAGGAATAATTAACCAGCCTATCTCTTATTCACCATTTTTCTCCTACAGTTTCTTTTAGTATGCAATCACCTTAACTTAGAAATATTTCTTAAAGTATCATCACACCCTAATATTCCTTGTTCAAAGCACATCTTCATTATCATAATAAAAATAGTATTCTTTCTTCTTTTGCCTTTGAATTCACCTCTAATTAAATAATTTATGTATTATTCCCCCTTTCAATCTGTATGAAAGTATAACTCCAAGTTCAGCGTGTGCTTAAACTAAAACTTAAATCTTCATATTTAAAAAAAGTATATTTGGCAGAATTCTTGGATCACATCCTCAGTTAAAAATGAAATTTCCGGGAGGTTTTTTTTATTTTGCAATTTTCTAGTTCTTAAAAAAATATTTGAAATAAGGTAGTTGGTATAGCACAGTGCGTAAGGTGCCAGACTTACATGATGGAAATCTATTTTCAGGTCCTCATATGATCGTGGAGACTTTATACTAAATTTTCCTCAGCCAAACCAATCTTTAGGGTTAGTGAAAACATAAAAGTAAAAGAAGACCCCATATGTGCCAACCTGAGTTCTTAGAAGAAAAGGTGGAAAATAAATGCAATAGAAAGAGAAAGAAATACTCCACAGTAGTTAAAGGTTTCATTTTGAAAACTAGTGCAGAATTTGCCCCTTTAATCACCTTGGGCAACTCTGTTAGTCTGCATTCACTTACCCAGCAGCCCAAAGGACAGAGTGGCTTGGAGGGCAAATTTCATTTTCTCCCTCTCTGGTTGCTTTCAGGCAAGGTGCTGCAGAGATGTCAGTCACAGACTGCTCCCACAGAGTCTGTGAAGGCTGTTGACTCAGCTGGCTTGCCTTTTTATAGAGAGCCTGTACTCTGCAGGGTTAGCAGAAGCAGTGACCCAACAGTGTTTGTCCTTCCTTGTTTCCCAATAGTGCCTGTCTCCTGTTCTATCTCACCAGCCTACTTCAGGGAGAATCTCATGTTGGCAGTGAATTCACTGCATGCCCGGAATGGAAAAAGGGGAATTGTTCGAGAAGCTTCAGCTGGGACTTTCCACATCATTTAAATTCTTCCTTTACCTGAAACTCAATTCTATTAGCAAGGACACATTCTTCCACTCCCATCATTGCAATGACATCTACATATGCCTGCTGAAGCTGTGACTAAATTTTGCCTACTTATGCAACAGCTCCACTCTATTAAAAGTCAGAGATTTAATTTCTGTACAACTAGAACTATATTCTAAAAACAATATCCATTATTGATGGCTCTCTGTTAGGGGGCCTCAAGATAGATATTGAAATGAGCAAAGGGTTGAAAGTCAAGGAACCCTTTCCTTCCTTCCTGTTTTCCTCCCGCCCTCCCTCCCTCCCTCCCTCCCTCCCTCCCTCCCTTCCTTCCTTCCTTCCTTCCTTCCTTCCTTCCTTCCTTCCTTCCTTCCTTCCTTCCTGTGGTTTACTCTTACAAGACAATGCATTCAAAAGTCCATTGTGGCTCTGGACTTGTTTCAAGCAGGAAACAAATTATTTTTTTATGTATGTCACTCCAATTGCTATCTGATTCTGAGCAGCTTATAATTCTACCATGCGTAAACTGGATTAAAGTAATTTAGATATAACCAAATAAATAAACAGCATTGCAGAGTAATATATTCCAGTGCAGAGGACCCCATAGGAACCCATATGCAGGAATATAGAGATGCTATTCTTTTCTGGAATAATAACTTTTCAAGATATTTATTTGTTACAAAACATCCACCTTTAGCAACTTAAAAACCAATAACACATGCATTATTTTGTAGATTCTTTAGCTTTTTTTTGTTTTTCAATCTTCCAAGTGAAAGAAAATACTTTGTATCTGGCCACAATGATGCATTTTGGGGGTGACATCATATTGAGACTACTGCAGAACAGTGTGTGAGCTGGCTTTGAAATCTCTGTGGAAATTTCACCTGCTTCATAATACTGTAATACAATTACTGACTAAACAAAGTACTGGAGACCATTTCAAGGTCCAATTCAAAAGAATGGTTTAAATCCACCTTGGTCTCCTTACTAGTTGAAGTAGAGTTACAGAGACATTAGCAAATAATGCCCTAATTGAAGAACACACACAAAAAAAACCACACTGTTCTGTATGTCATTGGAACCCTGGCAAAGCTTCAGAGGTGAAGCAAGAATTAACTATGTGCCCACATAGAAGGATGAAAGAAAGAACAAATAAAGAAAAAGAAAGGACCAAATAGAAATAGGAATTACTATATTAGAAAAGATTGCATTTTTGTGAGAAGTTTGAGAAAACGGAATGTGACAAAGAGCAAAACAACAAAAACAGCTTGGAAGCCAGAGAGATAGACTATCTTGATGCTGCAGTAGAAATTGGAGTGCTGTTTGAGACAGACTCTTACCCCCCCCCCAAAAAAGTTTCTGATCAAAGAGGAATTGTAGGAGGAATAGAGAGACCTTATCAAGAAGTATGAGAAAATATAGATTGGGCATTCTGGCTACTCTTTTCAGAATCTACTTTGGAAACTAGTAATCCTCATTATGTTAGACAGGAGATAGATTTAAGGCAACATTGCTGCAAGTTTGGCAGGACTTCTTCAACAATGACAGGCCAACCAAAGCAAATCAGATTTGCCCATCTTATTTTCAACTACAGTCAAAAATGGTTAAGGTGGTAGAAGTGGGAACCAGTGATAACCATGATTCTAGAAGGAAAACATGTGGAGCAATATAATGCAATACCGTTTATTTGGTCAATGGCAATCGAAAATTTAAAAATACAACACAAAGGTAAAATCAAATTGATGAGATAAAATATCAGCATAACATAAAGTAAGAAATAAAGTGTAACATAACCTACTATAATAGTGTGTTAATTACCCATGCAAGTTTAAATATAAAATATTACAATCTATGAGGAAATATATAGAGAACACCTGAAACAAAGTAGCATGTATTAAACCTGACGTAATGAATAAAATAGAAGTGGTTCTCTTTATAACTAGTTATGCCTTATTTTCACCTCAGAAACACAGAATTTGATTACCACACAAGTGATAAAGGGTTTTGAGTCTTCTGGAAGGTGATTTGTATCTTCCAGTTGTCTGGTTTTCCTGAAAATTTATATAATAGGAGCAGAATATAAACAGTCCTGATATCCCTGTAGAATTTACAATGTAATAATAGACGTGAAATACTTTCAATCTTCTTGGAGAAAACCAAATATGACAATGACCTGTTAAAACATCTGTTCCAGTAGAATCTGTATTTTTCTGTATGATCTTAGCTGTACATTAATTGTACACCAATAATCAAATCTTATAATGTATCTAATTGGGAAAACATAAACAAAAAATGAAGAAATATTTATCTGTCTCTGCTGCTGGGTGAATCCAATGGCACAAATGGAGTAAGATAGCTGTGATTTGTCTCTTTCAGCTAATTATGACCTCCAAAACTATATGGCATGGGATTAGATTATCTGAAACTACTTTTCCATATATGATTTTCTTGGTTTTAAAATCCTTGGCTGTTCCTTCTAATCTGACATCTACATTTCAGTCAACACTTCTAGATGTTTTGAGTTTTCATACTCATAATTCCCAGCCACACCTTTTCCAGTACTGTCTCTGGAATACTTTACAGAAGAAAATCTGCCTAATCTCATTTCCACTGACTTCACACCCTCAAGGCCCTACAGATAGTTCTTTAGTACCATAAACTGACCTGATCTGGTCATAGATGCAATGGATTTAAGTTGATGATAACTGTTTAGCTGATTGTTTGCACTGATTTTACTGATATGTTTCACGTCCCTTAGTTCTCTTTCAGTCTAACATAGTCTTTGTATAATCTAGAGAGTAGATCAGGGTAACTAAAAGGTAGAATCAGTTCTGCATCTACACCAGCCTTACCTAAAATGATGTCCTCCAGAAATATTGAACTCCTATCATTTTGGTCAATATGTCCACAATGTTTAAGAATGCTTAATTTTATTATATCATACACAATTGCAGTTAATTTCATATATAACTAGTGGAAAAATACAGGAAAACAGGATAGTTACTTATTTTTCCTTGAGACTTCCTGTAGTGAAATACACTACAGGAATTTATTGTGTAAATAATCAGCCAGAAACTATTAATATGATCATTGTCATCTGATGCAAATGTAACCTGCGTTACTTAATCAATGTTATGGAACATGAATCTCTTTAACAATCCCTTTTTATTTTTTGCAAACTAAATAATTCTCATAATAAATGGTTATTTTAAAAAATAGAAATTTGAATCAAATAAAAGGGAAAATATGTGAACTAGTTGCATTCCATTGTGTAAGCTTCAGTGACAAGATATTTATCTCACATTGTATAAATAAGACAGTTGGGAAGACATTCTTTTTCAGAAGAAACAATGAAATGCTTGGTTTAGGTCATAGGAGAAGGAGTGCCATTACTCACCATAAAGAGAACACAACATGTGATTATGAGAATTTAGTAATTCATCACTTCTAAATACATGCTTGTTTCTTTGCAAACACAGATGGCTCTCTATATCATATAATAATTTCAAGCAGATCACAACAACCAACAAAAACAGATGCTCTGCAGTTGGATTCCTTTTCCTAACCATGCCAGCATGCTGCTACAGGCATGGCGATCCTTGCCAATGAGAGCAGAGACATGGGTTCAGCCAATAGGTTGCCTTTTTTGAACTGACATATGCTGCCTTGAGAACTTCCCATACATTGATACAGTGGTGCTGGCACACAGCATCCAGTTATATTGTCAATGGTGTGGGTGGGTCATCTTTACTAAGACTGCATCTTTACTTGGAAGATTCTCCAATGCACAGAACCTGGCAAAAATCCACCAATATTCTCCTGTGTTCCCTGAACACAGGTGATATTGCACTTCAATTCCAATTTATTATTCATGAAAATATCTTCAGAGAGGAGAACTCAGCAGTCTTTAAAGTACAATTTTAAAAGGAGAGACCTACAAAACATTACAGGACAGATTTTTCAAAAAACTTACCATTAAAATTTGATTCCCCATAATAGAAACATCTATTTAAAATACAAAGACCTACAAATAGAAATAGAAATATTGTGGCAAAAGCAAGCAAGGGTAGTACCAATAGTAATAGACACCTTGGGTGTAATCCCAAAACAACTGGAGCACCACTTGAACACTATTAGCATTGACAAATTCGCTATTAGTCAATTGCAAAAGGCGGCCTTACTAGGAACTGCTTCCATCCTGCGACGATATCTGTAATACCATCAAACATCCACAACTGCCTATCCCAGGTCCTGGGTAAGGACTCGATAGGTAGACACAATGCCAAATCCAGTCTGAACATCTGGCTGACTGTGCGATGATCATAATAATAATAATAATAATAATAATAATAATAATAATAATAATAATAATAATAATAATAATAATAATAATCCCCCAGTGAGGCACTACCTTGACGTGGTTGTGGGGCTTGTGTACTCTGAGGAAGATGAGAGCTATGCCAGAGGTTCAACCATACTGGACAGGTCTCATCAGAGGAGTCAGACAAAGAGTGTCTCTCCCATAAAAAATATGGTGAGACGTAAATTTCAGAATGCCATACCGGCTCGGACGTCGCCCGGGTTAACAAGGTCCGCGCTAGATATTGGAGTTCCTGGATATCTGGTGAAAAATGGGTTACAGGACTCAGGACTGTTGGCTGAGCAACCAGGGCCAGCAGCTGCAGAACTACTGGAAGAAAAGGTGTTTACCCGTCGCAGATACACAGTGATGGAAAACAAAGAAATAATGATCTGTTACTACAGATCAAGTCCAACAAGAAGAGGATATCTAAAACGAATGCACCAGTTCTGGAAAGAACA